CTCGGAGTCGACATATCGAGTGACGTGCAGTTTCGTGGTCACTTGGAAGAGAAGGCCAAATTGGCCTCTAAAAAGCTTGGCGTGCTCAGCAGAGCGGGACAGTATTTCATGCCGGCACACCGCCTGCAACTTTACAAGGCGCAGGTTCGGCCTCACATGGAATACTGTTCCCATCTCTGGGCAGGAGCTCCCCAGTGCCAGCTCCTTCCACTTGACCGCATCCAGCGCAGAGTGGCTCGAATCGTCGACGACCGAGCCCTTTCCGATCGGCTCGATTCATTGGCACTGCGAAGAGATGTTGCATCCCTTTGCATTTTCTTTCGCATCTACCATGGGGAGTGCTCTGAGGAATTGTTCGGATTAATCCCAGCCGCCAAATTTCATGAACGCACATCGCGGCAGAACCCCCGATACCATCCACACCATCTGGATGATTGGCGGTCCACCACTGTGCGATTTAGAAGAAGTTTTCTTCCTCGCACGACTTCCTTGTGGAATCGATTACCATCAGCGATTTTTCCGGACCGATACGACTTAGGGACCTTCAAGAAAAGAGCCTACTCCTTTTTAAAAGGCCGGCAACGCATCTGCAATTCTCCTGGTGTTGCGGTTGTTCATGGGCGGCGGTAGTCACTTACCATCAGGTGAGCCGCATGCTCGTTTGCCCCCTCTCCTATAAAAAAAAAACGCTACTCAGACGAGTTGGATCCGTCGATCGACTACTTCATCTTCATCAGCGTGTAGAAACATCCCTTGCTTGACCTGGAAATCTCTTATGAAGGGTAAATTCGACGCAATCACGTACGAAGTAGAATTTTTGATATCTGGCATAACAATCTATTAGTGGAATATAAACAGTTTTCTGAAAATATTCCTCGTCATTTCCTTGAATCGCGAAGTCTGTCAGTAATTTTTAGATTTTTCAATTTTGACGTGTATGATTTGGGGGTGTTGGTCATGTCCTGTGACCCTCCCCTTCGGACCGCGTCTGGTTGTAACAATGTTTAAACTCGCAAGCTTGCTATCAGACAGTGGTCCTTCTGTTATCGTACTATTATTTAATCTGTGGTTATTACAAAAGATCCATTGGAATTGAAACATATTACACATTGTTTGTTTAAAGAATATCATACAGATAAATGAAACAAAAACTAGTCAATAATATTTATTCATTTTAATATTTGATGAATTTTCACTGAAATTTGCACATAATATATTGGTACTATTATAATTATACACCCTTATGTACGAACACTCACAATGTTACAAAGAGTATCCATATCATCTTATCTGAACCGCACTTCATGCATGACGCACATTATACACACATTGAAATTTTAAGTACAATTTTAATAGTTTGTTTTTTGCCGCAACCATGCATTGGCACAATTACTCGACCTAAAAGGTGGTTAACGATTCGAGTAGGTATAATTTCTTTTAATTATTTATATTTTAGTTATTATTTATTAAATATAATATGTAATATAATATCAACGGAACTAAAGAAGAGATATTGATCTAGTCTGTTTTTATAGAGAGATTTTCTGGTAGAAATCTAAGGACTTTCAGTAGCCCTTAGATTTCAACCAGATCTGATCCAGACCAGTCGATTTTTATCCTATTAATACAAAAGGTGTAGGTTGTTTGCGCGAGAGCAAGGTTTTTATTTATTTAAAAAGCTCCCGAACCCCCCTCCCCCTTTATCCTACAGGTATATTTTCTTGCGTTGTGTAAACATTTTTCATACATACATTGAAGAAGATTATACATCGGGGCCTGGAACAATTACATATAGCTTTGTAGCCCACACAAATAATACTTCCGAGCGTGATTGCCTAGTGGCTCCGCAACCACTTCGCTTCTGAGCCATACTAAGTTGATTCCAATGTGTGGCCGCGGCATCACATGCAAATTTATTTAATAACTAGCTGTGCCCGCGGCGTAGCTCGCGTATACAGGTTTTACATAAACAATTTGTCGTTTAGGTAAGAGAATATTAAACGATTTATTTCATTACTGTATCAATAAGTGGTAACTAAATAAATCGTTATCATCAAAGTTCTAAGTCGTTTATGATAGAGCTTCTATGTAAACGACGTGAGAAGTAGGCTTAGCCGGGGTGTACACTAAAAGGTTACGGGGGCTACTAACGCCGGAAAAAGCAACATAGAGTTGGCCATGTGCAAAACAGTCAGTACTGAGGTACACTCCTACAACGCGTAAAGTTTGACCTTGCGCTTTATTTACGGTCATCGCATAACACACGCTCACTGTAACTGGGAACTGAACGCGCTTAAAACTGAAAGGAAAGTTACTTCTTAATAGAGGGTTTTTGGGCAGTGCTGCCAGATAAAAAAAACTAATTCAGCTCTAGGACAACACAAAAAGCGCTAGATTTCATGAAAACAGCGCTTTAAAAAAGCCCTAGATTTCGCGCTAAATTAACTACAAACAAAGTTTGTGTTTTTTTATATAATCATAATAAAGAAAACAACATTAAGTTTTTTTTTCTGGCAATATTTTTTTGATGTATCAATACTTCGCAGGACATCGACTTATAATTATGGCAATTGCTGTCAACAGTAGTTAGTACTGTACGAACAATAAAAATGTCATTAATTGTTTTAAAGTGCAATGTATTTCGCAACTTAGTTTCAGATGTCAGCATCTGATTGCGGTTGCTACACAGTTTCTTTGTGTTATAACTTCTAAGTAACTTTTAACTTAGCTGTGCTCTAAGCAACTGACTGAAACTGAATAAAGCAAAATAAATGCGTTGCCAAAACCATGAACAAAAACTTTAATAAAGGGGTTTCCCCGCTTATAGTCGTCGGTAAAAAAATCAAGTTGATCATCCTAAAGGGGAAGCCAGGAGATCCATAGCACAGGGTATCCTAGTTTGGACTCGTCTCCCATGCTCTTTGTTTTGTGGAAAAAATATGTTTGAAAAAGATAAACTGCAATGTACTATTTGTGGGAAAAAAATAATAAAGGTCATTATTATTATTATCGGTAATGTGGACTAACAGTGCTGCTATAAAAGAGTTAATAACCCGCTAGTCGCTAAAATATTGAAATGTGTGCTAAATACACCAAAAAGCGCTGGATTAAGCTAGGGCTAAAATTTCGAAATGCGCGCTATACATTCCAAAAAAGCGCTAAATCTAGTTCCCAAAGCGCTAAAGTGGCTGTACTGATTTTGCGTATATTATAAATACAATATCACGACATTTCGTTGCAAAATTTTTATTTTTGGTCGGGTTCCGTTGTAGGGCTTCGATGGATACAAATTTCTTCAGTAAGTCTCAATACAATTCATCGGCGAAAAATCTCAACACAGCAATTCAGAAAAGTTTGTTATTTGTACAACTCCATCTATTACGTCCTTTGTGTGAGAAAACATCCTTTTTAAATCTCTTTTTGTGTTTTAAGTATAAATATATTAATTATTATGGAACGTTTTTTTTACACACAAATCTTTTTATTACTATTTATGAGATTTTATGGCGCCATTGAACAAATTCGAACCTACATTTCAAAATAATAATCGTTACTTTTGATAGAATTAACCAATTTTAATAAAACAAAGATTAAATGTAACTCGAAGATACGCTTTATGATTTTCTTAACGATTTCTTTGAAAATAAAATATGTTTACTTTAGACGTGATGCGTTCATATAATAACAGACAAATAGACATACAGACAATTCTAAAAATTATAAAATGTTCTTATTTAATTATTTTCAGTTCCCCATAATGATTTTAGCCACCAAAATATATACCTATACAATGTACAGAAAGAGACACAATATGTTATTATCATTTTTATTATATGTATATATTTAAAGAGAGATGGCGCTGCTAACATCAATTCTAAAAATAAAAGAGATTAATTGACGCGATTGATACATTATATAAAACGCAAGAGTACTTATAAATCAGTGCCTGCACAGTAAGCAAAAAATAAACTTTGACTCTCGCCAAAACCAACGATTTGTTAATAGCTCTTTTAAAATTTGATTTACCACATAGAGTACTCGGCGGTAAAGAATAAATTGAGTTTATCAACACGCAGTAGGGCAGCGAGTAATATAATAAAGATTAGCAGTAAATATGAAAACTCATCTACAGGAAAAAAAAAAACATTGCAATTGCATTACATTTTCACAACACCACCATCTATCGAAGAAATGGGAAAACTATTGTGCTTCAGATTTAGTTAATAAGGTTAATATATTTTTGTATAATATATTTAATACGTTTTTTAATACTTTTGTTTACTGCGTTTTAGATATACATAATTATATCATTATTTTACATAATTTAACTATGATTTATGATATGATATTAGTTTAAAATGCACCTGATGACTCAAACAAAGCCACCGTTGAGCAAATTCGTACCTATACTTCCCTACCCATACTTCAGAATATTTATCATAACTTTTGATGGAATGAACTGATTTTAATGAAATAAAGACTAAATGTAACCCGAAGATACACTTTATAATTTCCTTAACAATTCTTATGATATAAATTAGTACTTTATACGTGATACGTTAACAAACAAACAGACAGACAGACAGACAGACAGACAGACAGAAAATTCTAAAAATGGTAGAAATGTATTTAATTACTTATTTTTAGTACCCCTCAATCACTTTTATTACAAAAATATAAAATGTACAGACATCTGCTATTTACAGTTTTATTATATGTATAGATATATCGTAGATGGGAGTGAAAAGGAATCATGAATAGGGGGAAAAATGGGTTTTAATTCAATAATTTGAAATCGAAAATGTTGTTCATGCTAATAATGTGTAGCAAAATAGTAATTTATTAAACAGGCGACTACTCAAGCGGTTATTTTTATTCAATAATGTATTAATATGTATACAACATAACAAATTAAATAAAAATGACCAGTGTCCAATGTAAAAAATTACATTACAAAAGGTTTGCAAGTATTAACATAAATTTTCATTGTTAATAAAGTTTTAGCGAAAAAACTTGCGTGACTTCCTCGCGCTCGTCTCCGAAGTCAAAGTAGGCAAAGACTCTTCCATCCCCAGTGTAACCACACGCAACGACACAGTCGACCGGCGTGCTTTAAAAAGAAACAAGATTACGAACACATATTGCGTAATGCACATTATATTTATTACACGGTGGAAGTTCAGGTCGAAAAGGTTTAATGTGTAAGCAAGTAACATAATAGCTCGAAGAACCGACAATCGATGGGGGAAAAAAAATCTCGAGTGTCGGCCTCGTACCGGCGGACGAAGTGTAGGGCGTCCCCCGACTAGATGGAGTGACGACCTGGTAAGACATGCAGGAAGTTGATGGATGTAGGTGGCTCAAGAACGTGCTTTGTGACATTCCTTGAGGGAGGCCTATGTTCAGCAGTGGACTTGTGAAGGGCTGTAATGATGATGAATATAATATAATATAATATGCTGAGATGATGTCATATGATTCGTGTGTAATTAATTAGAAGTGAAATAGAAAAGAGGTAAAATAACAGCTTATATAGATTCCACTTAAGTTAGCATAATTTTATGCGTTATCGTGCTTGAATTTGTACCTTGCTTGTCTCCGCAATTACCTTGTTGAGTCCCGCAAACCCTTCCGGTTTGTTCTTTGATAATGAACGTAATTGTAAGCGATTGACAATAACGGTCTGAGCACAGAATAAGTAACACTTGCATATTTGATACTTATGGAGTTGTAGCAAGCACTGAGGATAGGCGCTCGACTTTTAGTATCTAACAACAGGGGTGTAGCTAGGCGTGGGCGAAGTGGGCTCTAGCCCACGGCCTCCAATTTAAATCTTCACGCACAATCCCTGACGGGGTAGCCAGAGAGAACAGATCTCCAAGTGTCACGATCCTTACAAACCTCTTTCGCTTCTTTCAGATTCATTATCTTCTTCATGCATGCACGTCTAGGTATCCGAGTACACTTGACCTTACCCTCTTCGAGCAATTTGCTTACATGGTCTTCGAAAGTTAGTCTCGGTCTACCTCGACACCTTTTAATATTAACTTTCGCGCTATATATTTTAGCTTTAAAATTTTTTTAAAATTATAAAGCTAAAATACAAATTTTCCAATTTAAAGATGCTCTAAAAGGTCCTCGCGAGGCCCTTTCAAATGCGTTGCCCCGAGACTTTACCACAGATGACTAATTTTCACGTTTACAATTTTTACAAATTTGTTTGATTGGGGCCTCGCAAGAAATCCCTCTTAAAAGCGACTCAGGAATTAATAGCTATAAGTAGGTAGATCGTGTCAAAGCATGTTTGGTGGGATAGATGTATTGGGTAGATCTTGGGAACGACAGAAAAGGGGCCTCGCTGATGCGACTTTGCCCACTTCTATATTAGTCCACGCTACGCCTCTGTCTAACAAACCGAGTTCCATTCATGCAGCCACTATCTAAACTGCTAATGCTTTTAAATGCCGATTTACCACGTGCTCGGCGGTAAGGGAAAACAACATGAGGAAAGCTACATATCAGAAAAAATATTTCGAGTGCATGGGAGACTGCCATTTGTGTATAAGGTCGGGGAAGAAGTTTCTTCGTATTTTATATACAAATTCAAGACATATTTTACGTTCACAATGTTAGCAATTCGACATCAATATATTCGTTTTTGATTAGTTATTTATTTTTATTATATGTCTAAAAATATAAAGAAAATAGGACTAGACTTATTATATTCGAACGATCAAGAAAATTGTTTTCTAAATCAAGTGATGATTATTTTATAAGATCGGGGAAAAAGTTTCTTCGTATTTTATACACAAATTGAAGACATTTTTTTTTCAAAGTTTAATTACATTTAACTATAATATATACGTGCCATTTTGTTCGATAACTTGTTGCCATCTTGTAGGTAGTGACATAGTCCCGTTGCTGCAGTAATCTTGGGATTTTTGACCAAAAAAATGCGACAAGTAATTTTGACAGTTCTTTTTTTTTTTTTATAGGAGAGGGGGCAAACGAGCATGCGGCTCACCTGATGGTAAGTGACTACCGCCGCCCATGAACAAATGCAACACCAGGGGAATCGCAGATGCGTTGCCGGCCTTTTAAAAAGGAGTACGCTCTTTTCTTGAAGGTCCCTAAGTCGTATCGGTCCGGAAAAATCGCTGATGGTAATCGATTCCTTAAGGAGGTCGTGCGAGGAAGAAAACATCTTCTAAATCGCACAGTGGTGGACCGCCAATCATCCAGATGGTGTGGATGGTATCGGGAGTTCAGCCGCGATGTGCGTTCGTGAAATTTGGCGGCTGGGATTAATCCGAACAATTCCTCAGAGCACTCCCCATGGTAGATGCGAAAGAAAATGCAAAGGGATGCAACATCTCTTCGCAGTGCCAATGAATCGAGCCGATCGGAAAGGGCTCGGTCGTCGACAATTCGAGCCGCTCTGCGTTGGATGCGGTCAAGTGGAAGGAGCTGGCACTGGGGAGCCCCTGCCCAGAGATGGGAACAGTATTCCATGTGAGGCCGAACTTGCACCTTGTAAAGTAGCAGGCGGTGTGCCGGCATGAAATACTGTCCCGCTCTTCTGAGCACGCCAAGCTTTTTAGAGGCCAATTTGGCCTTCCCTTCCAAGTGACCACGAAACTGCACGTCACTCGATATGTCGACTCCGAGGATACCGATACTGGCTGAGGCAAGAAGGGGAGTGCCTTGAAACTGAGGAGATACGACAAAGGGGTTCTTTTTAGCGGTAAACGCGCAAACTTGTGTCTTCTGAGGATTAAATTGGACTAGATTTAGTCGCCCCCAATCCGAGACTTTGTTCAGCAAAGACTCGACTTCAGACACAAGTTTGTTCCGGTACTCAGCGACGTTTTCCCGAGAAATATTGGCACGGCCGGTGTATAGAGCATCACCAGTGCTGTCATCCGCATAGCAATGAATGTTACCAGTTAGCAACATATCATTGATATGCAGAAGAAACAGCCTTGGTGATAGCACACAGCCTTGTGGAACACCAGCGTTAATAGGCTTGTAGTCAGAGCATGCACCGTCTACAACGACCTTGATGCTCCGATCTGCAAGGAAGCTGGTGATCCAATTGCACAATTTCTCGGGAAGCCCATAGGAAGGGAGCTTCGAAAGAAGCGCTTTGTGCCAGTCCTCCGTTGATATTAACCTAACACTACCCAAAAAATTCTGTACAGGCCGAAATAGGTGAAAATCTGACGGTGCAAGGTTAGGACTATATGGTGGATGCATTAACACTTCCCAACTAAGCTCTCTCAATTTTTGCTGAGTGGCCAAAATGTGTGAGGTCTGGCGTTATCATGATGAAAGACCACTCCTTTTCTCTTGATAAATTACGGCCGTTTTTTCTTAATTTCCTGCTTGATTCTCATTAGTTGTTGGCAGCAGAGATCAGAATCAACGGTTTTCTACGGCGGTAAAAGCTCATAATAAACGATGCCATTCCAATCCCACCATACATACAGTATCATCTTACTGCGCAAGATATAGCCAGACTTTTTCAAATGGCTCAAAACTGTTTTGTGGTCAATCCTAATTTTCTCAACTATGTCGTAACTACTAATATGCCAATCTTGCTCAACTTTTTCAAAAATGGCATCGACTTTATGAAGGTCGACCAGAGCGTGCTACATCTTTGACATCAAAATTCCCGGACTGAAAACGCTTGAACCAACTTTTTGCTGCTCTTACTGACCCTGCATTAGGTTCATAAACGTCACAAATGTTATTCGCGGCGTGAGTATGTATTGATATTAAAACCGGCTGGATACAAACAGTACAACCAAAAACATTTTTCTTTAATTTTATATAAACAAAATATGAAGAAACTTTTCCCCCGATCTATTATAACAGAAACGCCTAGCAGTGTTTACAATGATGTGTTTATAAACAAAGAGGTTTGTACCTCTTTAGGATATAACTAAATTTTATTAACAGATTTAACCATTCTGTTCCAGATAAAACAGTTATAAAAACATTCCAAGGAGAAAAGAACCATTTTTAAAGAAAACTATCAAATATTTTACAATAAAAAGATTCAATAAGCATGTCAATTATTAAGTTCATGGAAGTTAAATTTCATAATTACAATATGACACCAACTACATACGCAACACATGTTTGTATATATATAACGATATTTTACAAGGAAAATATATATTTTCTGGTACCAGCCTGCTTACCGTTATTCGTTCATGGTCTACATTCGTATATTATTTGTGTATATTTTATGTATTAACTCATTTGTGGATTACGGGGCTGATACCGGTATTGTTGTCGTCCCACATAAAGTAAAACAATTAATGAAAATAATTACCTTGTTCAGGAATTTCTTGCATAATCTGAAAAATAAACAAAATTATAAACTATCAGATTTAGTTTTATTTCATTTTATTTCATAATGTACGTTTCCGCGAGTATTTGTCAACAGATTCCCATGGATTTTCTCATTGGACTCACCATAAGCCCTCATACATATGTATTTGATGTCTTTTATCAAACTGACGAAATTTTGGTGTAATCGCAACAAGCGCTTAACACCAAGCAGTTTAATAAATTTTCTTTTAAAAATTCCGCCATTTTTTGAACGTATAAAATAAAGAATTAAAATGTATGACGTATCCCTTAGTAGATTTTTATGACAACGAGGATATGATGAAGTGACGGATCAGTTTAGTTTTTTCTTTATTACTAAACAATTAATTAAGCGGGATGCTCACTCAGTCGCCCTAACGAGATAATAGGTTGTGAGTATCAGACGCTTTCACAAGATTCAATTTTGAATATTTACAGCAATATATACTTAGGCTGCACTAAAAGTATCGGGAATGGAATATTTCCACTGTTCCTGTCATATTAAAATCTTTTTAATTGAAAAGTCCTTGGTTTTTTAAAATTGAATACCATTTATTTATTTAAAAAAAGATTCTCGGTCTTATCACAAGGTTTTGTCAAACTTGTTTAGTCGTTGAGAAAATGGAATTGACTCGAGAAAATTCAAGAGCGATGATTTATTATGACTTTCGAAGTGGTTTAACACAAAAACAGTGTGTTGACCGGATGATTTCTGCATTTGGTGATGAAGCCCCATCCAAAACCACAACTTATCGCTGGTTTGCTGAATTTCAACGTGGACGTGTCAAGCTCAGTGATGATCCCCGTCAAGGTCGTCCAAAAACTGCAGTCACCCAAGAAAACGTTGATGCTGTGCGTAAGCTGATTGAGGAAGATCGACATGTGACATACCGCGAAATTCAGGCAACTTTAGACATTGGCATGAGTCAAATACAAATAATCTTGCATGAACAATTAGGAGTAAAAAAGTTGTTTTCCCGATGGATACCGTATTCGCTCTGTGAAGAGCAAAAAGCGGCTCGCGTTACTTGGTGCGTCAGAACTCTCGAAAGATTCCACGCAGGATCCTCAAATGCTGTGTACAACATCGTATCAGGTGACGAATCCTGGATATATGCGTACGAACCCGAAACAAAAAACCAGTCACGAGTTTGGGTGTTCGAAAATGAGTAAGCTAGTTGGATTATAAATGAAAAAAAAACGACTTCAATTGTCATCATTTTAAATATTATATATGGAACAACTTTAAGAATACTCTCTATTGGCAAAAAAGAGGCAGATTAATTAACTAAACAGGGTGATAGATAGATGTAAATAGTGTAAGTATGTAACATTATACAGCGAATTGATAATCTATTTAACAAACTTAAGGCCAAGTTTGACAAAAATATCGTATTTTAGACAAGATATTGACCCCCCGAAAACTGATACTTCTTGAAATAGTATATGTTCGGAAAACAAATATGCGCATACATGGAATACTCAGTTAAATTCTTAAAATCCTTAATATTAATCGAGATAAAAAATATAATTTAATCGCTGGGAAAAAAACTGACGTTCGAGTACTCATTTTTATGCGATAAATACGAGTATATCAAGTGATATAAGTAAAAACACACTCTAAATATAATTAGATTATATTCTATAAAAAAAGAATGCATTCAGTGGAAAAAGTTGCGCTATGAGCCTTTAAGCGTAAAAAATCCTCGCTTTAGTTTTTCAGAGTAAACAAAAAAGAGAACATTCGAAGCGGCAGTCACCGATATAACAGTTCCCGACCTAAAGATTAATCCAACTAAATGGTGGCTCACAACCGTGGGTTGAGGCGATCTTCGAAGGAGGTATAAGTTCTGCAAGTGGGCTTGTGATGGACTGCAATTATAATCTTTGATCTCGTCTTTTCCTTTTCAAATATACAAACGTTTAAAACTTATAAAAAAAACGTATAAGTATATAATGTATAAGCATATAATACTTACACTCGGCTCCTGCACTTTGTGTGCCAGCGTCTTACGGAAGGCACTGAGTCGTTTTGTGTATCCGCTGGCCATGCTTAGGCCACTCCTCGAAGATTCACACGAGGATGAGAATACTGATTCTGCATAAATAAAAAGATCAATATATTTCTTAGTTTACTAAACAGCGTATAAGGGGACATACGCCACTGAATGTGGAGCATTTTGCTGATTGAAGGAGTTCTAACGACTGATGGTGCAAAATCCATTCAAAAACGATGAACTGAAATTTCGCATACTGGTGTATTACTATTGCGAGAGTATGGCCTCTGCTCACAACGTCCTGCCCAGCGAGATAAGCATGGACAATCTGTCATACATAGGTTGGCAGCTGGCATCGCTGTGGAGTAGCGGAATAGAAACAGAAACAGAAACTTTTTTATTCAATATAGATTATAAATAATACTTATTGAAAGTCACTCTTTTGTATAATTACCACTGGTTCGAAAAAAACCTCTGTCCTGGGAAGAACCAGCAAGAAACCCAGCGGGACTTTTTTATTTAAATAACAGCTTACAATCATGTATGTTACACAAATTAACAACACAACAAATAGAAATAGCTTGGTAGCGATCACCTCATTTCCAGGGGTTATTATCATCTATAAATTCTTTGATATTATTTGATGACCGATATTTAGTATGGAGGCGGGATCGCAATTATTGTAGCACGTCACAAACGCGGGGGGGTGGTGTACTAATTGCAGTGAGGAATGATCTTTCGGTAGTGGAGAGGGGTGACTGGCGTAGTTCAGCGGAAGATATTTGGGTCTCTATTTTGCTAAAAAGATCCAGGCCGCCAGTGACATACAATATAAACATTTGTGCGCTTCACCTGTGTAGAGAAAATATCGGTAACTCATATAATACCCAATTGCTAAATTTCACACAAAATATTAATACCATAATTCTGTCTAATCCGTGCGACAAATTCATAATCGTAGGTGATTTCAATTTTGGTAGTCAAGTAGATTGGAATGTTTGCAGTGATAGTGGCGAGTTGTTACCAACCAATCACTCCTGTCAATATATTTCTGATTTCCTTGACTCTGTTAACACCTGTAGCTTATCTCAGTATAATTGTATACGTAACATAAATGGGAGACTACTTGACTTGGTTTTCTCTAATGACCTTGTAGATGTTAAGGAATGCTATGAACCATTAGCAATGCCCCCAGATATGCACCATAAGCCTTTGGTTATAAAGGTTTGTTGAATTACATAAACTAGATGATAAAAAGAAAAACAATTATCTCTTTCACAAAGGTGATTACGTGGCTATTAGTTCAGCTCTTGACCAGGTAAACTGGTATGAACTTTTGGGGAATGACTCTCTAGACAATGTGGTTACTCTCTTTTATAATAAATTGTATGAACTTAGGGAACAGTTTATTCCCATAAAATCCACTAGACGCTCGTCACACCCTCCATGGTATAATTCTGCGCTACTAAAGGTCTTAAAAGAAAAACACAAGTATCATCGTAAGTTTAAGTTATATGGTAATTTATCCGACTACCAATCTTTTTCACTATTACGTAAAAGGGCTAACCAGTTAGAGCGAAGCTGCTTTGAATCCTATATTGATAAAATCGAATCTTCCATAACTAGTAACCCAAAAATTTTCTGGTCTTTTATAAAAAGTAGGAATAATGCGTCTACTACTCCTAATGTAATGTATTATGAGGAATCTTCTGCAAACACTGGTGAAGGTATTAGTGACTTATTCGCTAAATATTTTAGTACTACTTTCGTTGAACCAGAATTGGAAACTTCTGATTCTAAATTATTTCCCATAACTGATTACAGTATTAATAGTATTAGCTCAATACACGTCTCAGATAAAGGTATCTTGAAGCTAGGTCATTAACAGAAGGAATAGTTCCACAAGTTTGGAAATCTGCCTTCATAACACCGGTATTTAAAAAAGGCGACAAGTCGAATGTCGGAAATTATCGTCCCATCTCGAAGTTATGCTTGTTTTCTAAAGTTCTTGAAAGAATCAACAACATGGGTTTCTTCGAAGACGTTCAACTACTTCTAATCTCATCACGGCTAATGAGTACATCACTAAAGGTATGGAGCAGCGTGCACAGGTAGACGTAATTTACACAGATTACAGCAAGTGCTTTGATCGTATTAATCATCGTGTTCTTTTACAAAAGTTGTTAGCTTCGGGAATACACGGTGACTTGTATAGGTGATTTTGTTCGTATATAGAGAATCGGACGCAGGCTGTTGTTTTGCGTGGTTACATGTCTGGTTGGTGCTCAATCCCATCTGGTGTTCCTCAGGGCTCATTACTTGGCCCCCTATTATTCACAATATTTATTGCCGATATAAAGTCATGTTTTAAAAATTCTCTCATACTACTTTACGCCGATGACATGAAAATTCTTAAAACTATTCATAATCTAACAGATGTTAAACAATTTCAAGAAGACCTAAACAGGTTCTCTGATTACTGTAAACTCAATAAGCTTCAATTGAATATCTCCAAATGTTCTCATATAACATTCACACGACAAAGATCTAGTATTGGGTTCGGTTATACTCTTCATAATCAGACTATCAGCAGGGTAAATCATATTCATGATCTCGGCGTAATACATGATAGTAAATTCATATTTGACAAACACATTGAATATATTGTCAACAAAGCATCCAAGGCTCTTGGTTTCATTTTAAGAACTTCATCCTGCTTCCGCTCTCTTAAAGCTGTTGAGATTTTGTATTGCTCATATGTGCGAAGCCATTTAGAATATGCATCTCAAGTATGGAACCCACAGTATAAGGTTTACATATCTCGTATTGAAAGTATACAAAAAAAATTTCTGAGATACCTCGACTTCAAGGCACAAATAAATTCAGCCAATTATCTAGAAAGATGTAAGAGATATCATTTTTTACCGTTGGAATATAGACGTAAAGTCAATGATATTTGTTTCTTAGTTAATATTGTAAATGGATCTATTGATTCTTCTGAGCTACTTACTCACATAATGATTCGAACCGATTTAATGAGATTTAGACAGCGACCCCTGCTATATATACCTCTTGCTTCAACGAATTATAGAAGAAATTCCTTCTTTCTGCGTAGCGCAATGGAATTTAATAAACTTTCATCTGTAGTAGATATTGACCTATTTTCTACTAGTTCTAAATTTGTAAAAAAAGTGATGAACAGAGAATTTTTCACTCACAGCCGCGACTAGCATGACTCATGTTGCAACCTCTTTGGTCTCACGGAAAGTTGAACTATGCGGTTTTTTTGTAATTTGTTTTTGCCTATTTTTTGCTTATGTTACTTTTTTTTGTAAGTAGTTTAAGTAATCCCTAGAGTATTTTAAATTTGTATAAAGTTGGATGAAAGTAATGTGTGGAGGCTTGTAATTAGCAATTCTTATCACCACTTTGTTACTACCGAAGATATTAGTCTGTAAGCCTTCCTAAAATAAATAAATAAAATAATTATAATAACCCTTTTTATACAAACTTAGTTTAATAAAGTTTTTAAACTTTGGACAGGTCAAATTTTATATATTTTCTGAAATTTTGTTGTAAAAGCGTATACATCGCCCCAAGAATGAATGAAATGGAGTCGAGTAACTGGTACTACTAGCTTGTGTCTGTTCCTAGTATTTACAGAATGAATATCACTTATTTTTGTAAAACTACTTTTATTTTTGTGTACGTACATTACATTTTCATAAATGTATTGAGAGGCCAAAGTTAATATATTAATTGCCTTAATTTTTTGTCGCAGCGACTCTTTAGGCTTTAAATCATAAATTGCTCTTATGGCCTCTTCTGTAAAACAAATATAAGTTCAGTGTCAGCTGTGTGTCCCCATAGCAAAATACCATACGACATTATGCTATGGAAATAGCTAAAGTAAACTAGTCTAGCTGTTTCAACACTAGTTAGAATTCTAATCTTTTTTACGGCATATGCTGCAGAACTAAGTCTGCTTGCTAGTTTTGATATATGGGGGCTCCATTGAAGCTTCGCGTCTAGTATGATTCCAAGAAAAATGGTGGTATCTACAAGACTCAGTTTCTCCCATCAGTCATGAATTTCATACATTTCGTTTTAGTGCCATTTAAATGCAAATTATTAACATTGAACCAATTTACTAATTTAGATATAGCATTATTTACTTCGTCATATTTTAGCAATTGTCGACTTAATTTGAAAATTAAAGAAGTGTCATCTGCAAATAATACTATATCATGGTTATCTCCTACTATGTAAGGCAAGTCATTAATGTATACAAGAAACAGAAAGGGGCCGAGAATTGAGCCTTGAGGCACGCCCATTTGTACCATCGACCCGGAAGAACTAATACTGTTAATGACAACTTTTTGCGTTCTCTTACTTAAATATGAAATAATTAATTTAAGAGCATCACTTCTTACACCGTAGTGTTGAAGTTTCCTGATTAATGTTTCATGGTGAACACAATCGAAGGCTTTGGATAGGCCACAAAATATACCCAAAGCATCCTGTGAATTCTCCCATGCATTAAATATATATTTAATCAGCTCAACACCGGAATCAGTTGTCAAGCGACCCCTTGTGAAACCAAATTGATTTTTATGAAGTAAATTATTTATATTAAAGAAATTTAACATTTGATCAAGAATAATTTTTTCAAAAATCTTACTAAGTGTTGGTAGTACAGAAATAGGTCTAAAATTGGCGGGGTCTAATGTACTACCAGATTTAAATAAAGTAAATATACTTCATTAAATCAGGAAACACACCAGATTCGATCGATCGAATCCAATACCCCATATCATTCCGTTGGTGTAAGAGGCGACAGATGATAAATGTAACAGGAAATGGACAGTAGCATCTTCCTAATAAGCCCGCCAAGCCTGGCAACTACGGCAAATATCCCCTCTTTGAAGCAAACTATAGGGAAAGGCCTATATTTTAGCAGTGGTCTTTTGAGGAACTGTAATAAATGTATGAATGGTTGCCAGCTGGCACCTGATTAGAAAATTCTATGCCCAGCAGAGGACTTAAAAAGGCTAACGGTGTGTTTGATGTAATTTATCAAACAAAAAAGTAGAAAATAGTTCTTTCCATAGCTGAGTTTGTTTGTAGAAATCAAAAAAATAGTTAAAGCATTATTCTTTCTATGTTTTAATTTTTAAATCGCTGTTTGGTTGTAGAAATAATTTTACTCTCTATCTGTAGCAGTAAAAGCAGTCTATTTAAATATTTTAAGGGTGCATAATAATACGAGTATATCCATGTGCAAAGTTCATTGAACACTCAGTCAGATATTTTAATGTGATAGAGCCATGCTGCAGATATATTAGTAGTATAGTTGTAGCACGAATGTGTCGGCTCGACCGGGGAAGGACCACGCTCTCACAGAATACTACCGTATAATAGCAGCTTTACTGAATTTTACTGAAAACACATCTGCATTTAGATTAGTAATCGAGGATAGATGTAGATGTCTACGGGCCACAGCAACCGCTTACCATCAGGTGGATTGTGTGCTCGTTTGTCACAATTATCCTATAAAAAAATATTACGAAGAGAATCTCTATATAAATAATAACATTTACCATCTACATCTGCGGGCAACTCCTGAAGTGAAGTTGTGGATGTGCTTGATATGATCCTGTAATATAACGCAACGGTTTTTGATTTTTATTTATTTTTGATTGCCTCTTAGGCCTAGTGGTCGTAAGCGCGACTGCTCACCATGAAGTTCTGGGTATGAATCCCGGGTTGGGCCAAAATCAATTATAGACTTTTTCTGTCAAGAAATTATTAGTAGCAGCCTGGCGTCGGAAGTATATAGTAGATAGTATATAGAATATAGTATATAGAAGATTAATGTCATTCCAAATTTTACTAGATAGTGTCAGAGAATAAATATCACATTTGTCAAGTTGTAAACTATTATTGAAAAACAGTCTCGCTGGGTTTTTTTAGTGGTTTTCCCAGGGAGAAGTTTTTCTCGAATCTACAGTAAAAGCATAAATGACATTCAATAAATATTATTAATAACCTATACTGAATTAAAATTATTCGGTAGTATTATATTTATAAATAACAATTTAGCGTCAGCCAAAGCCAGTCCCCTGCTGGATATGGATTCTGCAGCTGGATTAAAGGAAACCCCAGAAAGATTTAGTCGCCTTTGACCGATGTCGTAATAACCTGAAATCCATAGACCGGTAACGTAGGGCAGCTTCCAAGTTGCGGATAGTCCCTAATCCTCCTTCCAGAAAGGTGATTACGACAAATCCTTACTTCAACATGGGAGCCCACGTCGCCTGTCTTCAGGCCTATTTCCTAACTTTTTTTCTTTAAACTGATAGTCACTTTGTAGTACATTGCGTCTTATGCTAAATAGCTTTTCTATAAGAGTAACCTCAAAATTGCTATCATTTTGATGTCAACAAAGTTAGGGAATACGCCTACTGGGCATTTTACATCTGATTTTATATCAGTTCGGGGACAAAGTTTTTTCGTATTTCATATACACATTCACGACATCTTTTCTTTTTTCAAAATTTAACTACATTTTATAAAATGTAATTAAATTTTGTTTATGTTAATATAATTAATATATATGTGCCACTTTTTTCGATAATTTGTTGCCATCTTGTAGGTAGTGACATAATTCCGTTGCTGTAGAAATCTTGGGATTTTTGATCAAAAAAATGCGACAAGTAGTTTTGATAGTCCTCTCTTGATGTTATAACCTTACACTACCCAAAAATTCTGAAGGGACCGAAACAGGTGAAAATCTGAGGGAACTGAAATCTGAACACTTCCCAACCAAGCTCTCTCTTAATTTTTGCTGAGTGACCAAATATGTGTGTAGTCTGGCGTTATCGTGATGAAAAACCACCTGTTGATCTTTCTGTTGATGTATTCCGGCAGCTTTTTCTCAATTTGTTGTTTGAGTCTCATTATTATTTAATTGTTGGCAGCATTTAATCCGGGTTTCGTTACAGTCTGTGGAGCTTGACTACCCTTTGACCATGACTTAGTAGCTCCGGGATGCTTTTGAGATTTTCTTGATAGAGAAACTCAATAACTGATTTATGGCCCGACCCGGAACTGCATGATCATTAGTTACGCTAACAACCACGAGACCAACGAGGTAGTTACAATCATCAATCTAAAGAGATGTGTCGGAAGATGTATGTCGATGAATGTCTAGCGTGGGAACTCTTGAACGAATGACTAGTGAGGGAATTTGTGTATTTCTAATTATAGTATGAGCAGATGTGATGCATGAGAGCAGTGTTTAGTTCTGTGGATGAAGAAGAACATAATATTGTCGCTTGTAGAGAAAGGCGTGCAGTCGCCGTTGGTGCGAGGGCGGATGTATACTATGTATGTGAGCAGCGCTCAGTGCTGGGGGTGAAAAAGAGCATATGTCACTTGTGGAATGTGGTGGACGGCATGCAGCAATGAACGGTGGTGTGCATAATGTCTAGTGCTGTGGATGAAGAATATATGTAGAATAGAATAGATTAGAAATTTTATTAAATATAGATGATTATATAATACTTATTGAAAGTCATTTATTATTTCCACTGGTTCGTAAAATACCTCAGTCCTAGGAAGAATCAGCAAGAAACCCAGCGGGTTTATTTGAGCTGTATACTTTGTGTTCGCGCCAAACGCTAATTTCAAGAATTGACGCCAGGGGGCGCTCAGCGCGGTGATTTCGTACCGGTTGACGTTAGCGCGAGATCGGGTTGGTTGCGAGCAGGGCGCGTCGGAAGTATTAATGCAGCGCGGTCACTAGAACGGTGTGGTCGCGTACCGCCTAACCTCTATATAGTGTCAGTTTGTTAGCAAATTTATGCAAAGACGAATGGAGTGTCGGTTTCGCGCGGCCATTTTTTTGTTTGGGTGGTCTAGAATTTGAGTGTTTGTGCGCGTTTAATTTGCTATTGAATATTTGGGACGTTTCGTGATAAGAGGCTTGTATTGAATTTGAGTGATTAAAGTAATTTCGTTTGCAAGTAATTACGTCAATTTGTATAGTGATTGCATGTTGAAGTGCATTTTGCAATATTTAACTTGCTTGTGTGACGTGAAACCTTGCGCGCACACCGAGTGGACAGACGGTCTGGAATTTGATGCTTGCATTCCATTTCGAGGGCATGGCCCGGTTAATTGTTTTTGGAAGTTAATGTTGAACTGTAACGTCGTGTTAAGTGCCTTTTTGTGGTATTTTAATATCGTACGTAAGAATTTAGTTTGTTGTTTGAAACGCTGAACCTTGTGACTCGAGAAGAGATCGCGTTCTTACGTGTGGTTAGAATGTTGTTGCTAAGTGAAAATGGAAGTTGAACTTTGATTGCCCGTTCATTAGTTGTGCCGTGTGGCACGTGTTTGATTTCGATGAACGTTGAATTGGTTGACTTTGAAGTTATGGTTATTGGTTGGACTGAAATAGTGAAGTGACGTCAGACTTGAGTTCAGATAAAGTGAACTATCACTGGAGGATCGCATATTTGGAGAATGCGGATCGGCGGTTCGACTTCTACGGTTAAATCAGGTTACACATGTCCACATTATTCCACACTACTTACATGCACATACTTAACGCCTGACCGCGCCTTGGGGTCGGTTCTCGATTCGGAACCGGGTAAGTTCTTGTTAATTACCTAGCCTTATATCTATTGTGTAGAATAATAAGTCTCCATAGGCCGTTGGGCCCCACCCTTAGTTGTCTGTCGAATCTACAGCTGTATGGGCCCCTGTATGGTCTTTGCTCCTTTGTCGGGGCAGCTAGGGGCGTGTACACTATGTGATTTGTGTATATTATGTGGTGGTGTGCCGAATGGCTAGTGCTGTGGGTGAAGAAGAGCATATGTGACTTGTTTATGAAGGCGTGCAGGCGGCGGTGGTGCGGCGGCAGGAGGCGCTGCACGCGCGCGGCGCACAGCAGCGCGGCCAGGCGCGGCGCCGCGTCGGCCGCGCCCGCGCCGCCGCACGCCTCGCGCAGCGCCTGCAGCGCGCCGTGCGCCGCCTCCGCGTAGTCGCGCACGCACAGCGACATCTAGCGCAACAACACCATCACTAAATAAACGGAACAGAGATAAAGCTTCATACAACCGCGCGAATCGGTTGCACTACTACAAGAACGTGGAGCATATGTGCGTGACCACTGGCCGCTTGTCGCATACGCGGCAAAACTGGAAAAAAACGGTTACGCTGGCACAGCCAGTGGGCAACAACCTCAGGGTCAATGTATCCATAGAACACTATTACTCCTAGCGGAGAGAGCGCAACACACGTTTGTTTTGTTAGTTGCAAGTTTGAATATTTTAATGTAAAAACGTGGTATTATTAATTATGATTGTTTATTGTACTGTGTGTATGAATAATACTAAACAAATAAAATTATATCATACTTTAGCAATCCCAAGGAGTACAATAGGCATTTGTTGAATTGCTCGAGCAAAAGTTTCGCGAATATTTCGATCTTGAAATAAATATTGTCAATGTTGGCAACGAAATACTTAAACGTATTAAATATTGTAAATTTGATATGCCATGTGAGTGCCTCCAGTTAGATTACTTGAAAAAACTTTATAAGAGGCATTCCATCTTAGTCCTCACAGGTGACAACGCATCTGCATTTTGATTATTTATTAAGGATAGACGTAGATGTCTATGGGTCACAGCAACCACTTACCATCAGTTGGACTGTGTGCTCGTTTCTCACCCTATCCTATAAAAAAATCTTAGATTTAGAATTTACCACACCATTATAAGAAACAATAAGATATTAAAAAACAAAAATTATAAAAAGAAAATTATTAGAGTAAGTAATATGTAAAGTATTCTATCATACTGAATAATAAAAATATTTAAAAAATGTTTTATTTATAAATAATGTTTTTCAGAAGCTTCGTCTCTGATCCGTTTATTTACTCTTGTGACAACACACTCTCACAATAATGAACCATGTTGACGGAACGCTGAGTACATTTCAAGTGACACTGAATCAGACCATAAGAATAAGACATGTACCTAAAATCATTTGTAATCTATCTAATAATTTATGTAACGGAATTTTTTAATGTAATTAGACGACCGATTTACTTGAAACTTTGCCTTTATCTTTAACAAGATCATCAGGATAAAATGAAATGGTTATGAGGATATCATCACAGCTCCTGATCAATGTACGTTGTTTAAGTTTCTTTTAAACTCTTATATTATTTTACCAAGTTTTTATTAATTCGCTTTGTTGTCTGTTCTGTACAATTTTTGCAATTGATTTTAAACAAATTTCCCGATAAGCTAGAGATTTTAAACTTTAAATCAAAGAGCAGTCTTAGCTGGATGACAATGCAATATAAACTCTTTTTCTTGTCTGTTTGTTTGTTTGTCTGTTCGGTGCAAATTTAGCAATCGATTTTAAAACAAATACCCGATGATAATTTCTTATGTTTACGCGAACACTACAGACTGAATGAAATTAGTTTTTACTCAGCCCCCCTCTCCGTGGTAAGTATTAGAAACGTTGGGAAATAAAATAAGGTAATAAAACGCGAGAAAGTCATTCAATAATTTCCCGATAAGTTGGAGATTTAAAACTTGAAGAATAATTCAGGACTAGAAACGTGGTAAAACTGGTAACAAGTTTGAATTATAATTATTTTAAAACTGAAGTGACAAATGTACTTACAGTCTACGCGAAGATAAGTCGCGTATAAGGACTAAGATTAAATTCCTCACATTCTGTGAATATACTGGCTTTCTAACCCTACTAATAAGACCGGTACACAGTGGTGCTTATCTAGAGGGAGTGCCAGGCAGAAAGGGAGTTCTACTACCTAGTAATTGGTTTTAGATGCATATGTGTGTATTCAGCAGTGGACTTTTACAGGCTGTTAAAGAAAAAAAGAAGAAAGCTGTGAGCGTGAGTGCGTGTCGAGTGCGTGTGCGTGTGAGTTGAGTGTTTTCAACGTCACTTGAAATATACGTGATATCTACGTATGAAGACACGATTACACTCGTATCTACCAGTAATTAAAGAACGAGGCACGAGGAATTCTGTACGTACTCGTAGCAGGTAGCAGGAACAGCTGGCATTGTAATGTACGTAGTCATACCAAATGCATCACTACAATACGAGTGTGTTTGACTGGTGTGATCTATGAACTTGCGTCGTGTGATGTTATATTGTATGGGTGTTATTGCACTAATAAATAATACTGCCTTTTACTACTGTTACAAATTGAATAATACACTACTAGAATTTGGATAAAACATAATTGGATTACGGCAGGAATTTGCCAGAGCCTCGTCCGTTAATTAGCAGTCTACATCTTAGCAAGAGAGACCTTCGAATAGCATTTGATGAACGAATTTGTAAATTTCCTTTATAACACATGCAATACTTACCTTAAATATACGCCAGTCGTCAATATCATCAAAAAGCTTCTTAGCGCGTCGCAGATTCTGGTTGATGACGTCATGTGCGTTTTGCAACCGATTCTCCTGACGTTGCATTCGATCGCGCAAACTCTCCATCTCGGTCTCGGCTTCAGCTCTGTATAACATTCAATTATTTAAATTTCGTTGACATAAAAAAATTATTACACGAAATACCAGGAAAATTATTTTAAGTCTTCGGATGATAAGTGTTACCATCATCTGAAACGCAAGCTTCTAACACTTTATCACTGTACATTCAATACATTGCACAAAGACTTCTACCACATTTTTAACTAGTGGTCGCAGTATCAAACGTCTTGCTTCAAGGCTGGCTCGAGCAACATATTTTCTCAAAACAGGTGAAAGCAATTCAAATTTAGAAGACTGTGGATATATGTAAAATTTAACTTTGCATACATTAAAAATGATTGACAATTTAGTGGTTTAAAAAGGAGTAAGTACATTTCTTGAAAGTAAGTCTTATCGTTACGAAAAAATTACCGTGGTAGACGATTCCACAAAGAAGTCGTGCGAGGAAGAAAACTCCTAGTATAACGCACTGTGGTGGCCAAGTAAGGTGTGGATAGTATCGTGAATTTGTCGCGATGTACGATGGTGGAATTGGGCTGTTGAAGCTTTACGAGTTACTAATGCGAAAGAATCTAAATATTAGTACTTACTCCCTAGCAGTGAGTTGCTTGTACTTATCACCAATCATTATAAGCTGCGAGCTGGCGTCCGATACTTTCTCTTCAAGCTTCGCGATCTTCATATGCAGTTGCTTGAGTTCGTCACGCTTTTCGTAGAATTGATTTGTTAATTCATTGATTTCCGTCATTTCTGGAGCTAAAATGAAAGTTCTTATAAACGAAATGGCAGCTAATTTTAGACATGGTGTTTCATTAATTCCGGTGAATTGGTAGTTGGCTTCTTTGATTCAGATATATTGCCTAAATGCCTAAAATATTGTCTGTTAATTCACTACCTAGGACTCTAGAATAGTTTTTATATATCGGTGCCTCTGCCCTATGTATAAAATATATAAAATATCTCAAGGTAGCGTCTATAGACCACAATAAAGGAATAAAACTCATGTGAAGGTAAATTGGCGCCAATAATTTAAATTTTATTCTACATTTCGTTTATTACCTGTTGTTTCGTCAGCCTAACTGTTTCATTGGCTGGTGGTCGTAAACGTGGCTGCTGATCGTGTGGTCATCGAATCCTAGGTCAACCTAGAGTCAGTTATTAGTGTTTTTCTGTCGAGAAGTTCGCAGTAATTGCCTGAAGTTATAAAGTTGGTAGTGTTCACTCCTGTGCCTCGGGAAGCACGTAAAGCCGTGGGGTACTGCACCTGAACATTCAACGACCGATTTGGATTGTTATCCCATTGGACTATGTGAAGGAATAAAAATTGTACCTGTGCTTGAGACAGCTAGTCTCCTTTGAGACGGGTCGTTGTGGCAAATTCGGCCTGAAGGACGTCCGTTACAGGCTTTCAAAAATCTACTGTTGAACATAGTCCCCGCCCATATATTGCCTTAACAGGGGCATTTTTTATTAAATTAGGGTAATAAGCGAGCACATAGTCCACCCGATGGTAAGTGGTTGCTGTGGCACATAAACATCTGCATCTATCTTCGATTGCGAATTAAAATGCAGGTGCGTTGTCAGCCGTGAGGGACTAAGATAGAATGCCTCTTTTCCATTAAAAAGGGTCTCCGGTTCTCTACACTCACCATACGAAACACAGCAGCATTAAGCTGCTATTCTATGCTGGTATTCTGTGAGAGCCTGGTCCTTCCCCGGTCGAACCGACCCATTCGTGTTACAACAGCAGCATGGCTCTACCACCATTATTTACCATAGTTGCCACGCTTGGCAGTCGGGTCGGCAACAGCAGTTTATTTTTTATTTCTTAAGTGTCTCTGTCGTCTCCTACGACATTCACAGGATGATATGGGTCACAGACAATCTTAGACCGCCACTACACGGTCAACACAGTGGTCTGTGACTGTCACTGGAGGATATCACATCAAATAATTTTTCCGCTGTCTCACGAGAAAAAAAAAAACAATCAAAAGGAAGTAGTAACTAACATAATAATATATTACCGTGATTGTATGTATTTCTACATCGTTTTTAAAAGACTTTAAATAAGTGCTAGCTAGTAATAGCTTGAGACTGGCCGCCGTAACTGGATTTCGATCTTGAAGACAGAAAACCAAATCGCTACCGTGAGACAGAAATAGCGTACCATCGTCGTGTAGGGGCGCGGTCCGTCGCAGGAAGTGTTCGTGCGCGGCGTGCACAACCCGCAGCGTGGCTTCCAGCGCGCTCACGTCGCGCTCGCGCCGCTCTATCTCCGCGTCCAGCTGCGCGCCGCGCTCGCGCAGCTCTGCGCGCTCGCCCGCGAACTGACCACACCATACCGCTTATTTCCTTATTGCTCTTTGCAAGTCCACGTTCGCCAATATATGTGACATACGGTAGCTCTACACGTTGGCCAACATTGTGGCGAATGTTGTGGCAAATATATTAGCCAAGAGTTTGTGATGACGAGCCGTGGTTGCTCAGATGGTTAGCGCTCGCTGTAAATTTCACAGTACGCGAGCAACCCGTGTTCGATCCCCGCCGGCACCAATGAAATTGTTAATTGCAATTTTAAGTGCTGATATACCACGTGCCCGGCGGTGAAGGAAAACATCGTGAGGAAACCTGCATGTCTGAGAAATAAGAAAAACATTTCGAAGACATGTGAAGTTCGCCAACACGCATTGGAGCAGCGCGGCGGACATTTCCTTGCCCTAAAACCCTCTCAGAAATGAGGGTCCGCCCAGCTGTGGGACATATATAGTCTGTAACTTTTGTGATGGCGGCCATACGTAAACAGGTCGTTCAGTTTGCTTCGATTCAGCCCAATGTGCGGACGAATTTATTACAAGTGGTAAATTTAAAATTTTGTGCAAATTACTTCAATATGAATATAATTTATTGTTGATTTTTTTAAAACCCCACGACCAATTTCGATAAAATTTAAATGGAACCACCTGGAAAGTATACGCATTAAAACAAAAAAGAATTATCCAAATTCAAGCGTGTTTGAGTAATTGGTGAACATACATAAAAAAACGATTCCGAGGAATTAAGAGACTCTTTTTTGTAGTCGTTTGAAAATGGATATTTGGCCGCTAACGGCCGTTGCGGATTATTTATTCACAACACACCTTTACTACGTGAATGTGTATAAGAAAAGGATGATAAAAAAAAAATGGTAAAAACATTATTTCTTGTGTTCCACAAACAATTTTCGGCTTGGTAAAGCTCTACAAAACGAAAAGTTTCTATAGTTCTAGTTTCTACAAAACTGCCATTTTGTAGACACTAGTTACAACGCGTGAACATAAACTTTAATTCAAGTGCGTGCGATCACTCTGGGAACTCGTAACAAACTAAACGCCCCCCTATATATAATGTACTATGTGCTAAACGCGCGCTCAACATGTGGACGCGGCAGCCATAAATCTACCACAACCCTTTGATCTTTTGTAAAAAACCGACACCAGACGGATCTCGCGCCAACTTGTGGGACATCATTCCAATACATACCAAAGTAAGCACAAACACCCGCTATACATGAGGTATTGGCCACATCATTCGTCACAATGCTGGACAACGTGAAGAGCCGCCTTTATGTTGAGGCCAATGCTTATAGCCATCATGCGGAGTAAAGTTGGACATGTGATCATCGCGTCAAGCGACTGTTGCCAGAGACGCAGCGTAAGTAGTATTTAATAAGCTAAGCCACTATGGTCAGCATTCAACAGCGCTACAATGCGCGCATCCATGACGCTTTATGAGTAATCGTGCTTGGCGTCGTACTGACGCCAGGCGCATAAAATTGGATAGCAAGAATTGAGATATTTGGATTTTAAGGATGAAAAATTAATATTATATTTAGTCGCTCAAATTCCAATATTATATAATATAAAACTTAATGTTTTTATTTACTTTTCGTAGAACCTTCTTCTGATTGGCTTTTAAAAATTGGATCTAGTATTTGCATTTCACCATCATCTACTTCTTTTTCAAAGATTATTTGAACATCCAGTGCACTCAAAATCCAAATAGCCAGCAAAAAATATCCGAATTGCTCTCAGTAGATATAATGGCGCTGGCATCGAAAGTTAAAGGACGCCTACGCTGCGCCTTGTCTCGGACGATTAATGCTTGACGCAATGATCGGAAGTCAAAATTGAGGGTTTATGGTCACCTTGTTAAGTGTTGTAGAGTTAGCGCCCAATCTAAAAGCTGTCGGTTTTCAACAAATATCGAAAGACGTTGGCGCTGCTATCCCTTCCTGAAAGCATTACGCCCCCGCGAGAAATTTTTTATGTACTATATAGAAACATTTTACATACATAAATGGCACACAGACAAACAACCCAGCAAGAACCAATTATTTGTTGACTATATAAGTACTAGTTATGTCTGGGAATCAAACCTAAGCTCGTAGCACCGTAGCTAAACGCTTTGAGTCTTTTAAACTGTTATATTTAATTATATTTTCCTTTAAATTTGTTTAGATGGCAATATTATTTCGGATGTAGTCTGTTCGTTTAGATACGGTCGCCTTTGTGTCCGCCTTGCCGCATCTTGTCAAAGGCGGCGCCGCGCCGCCACATCAAAGGTCGCCACGTGCGGCGTACACCCACAGGAGGATTTGGCATTTTAAAACAGAGCGGCGAAATGAATGGTTCTTTGATATCTAACTTGTGTTTATTATTTATATTCGTATTTTATTACAATAACCATAAAAGTAAAATAGTTTTCTTAATGATTTCTTATATTTACGCGAACACTACACATTTTTAAATAAAACTAATTTTACGGATTTTATCGCGTATATTAACTTATTTTTATATATTCTCGACGTTTCGGGTGCTTTCCAGCACCCGTGGTCACGGGGGACTGAAACGTCGAAACCGTCGACCGAAACGTCGGGAATATATAAAAATAAGTTAATATACGCGATAAAATCCGTAAAATTTGTTTTATTTAAAAATAGTTTTCTATTTTATTCTTAGAATAGAAAAACATTTATTTAACAAACAGTGAAAAAAATGCAAAAGAATAAGTGCGCCTCCGGATGTACCAGCCACAACGGGAGGAAGCGTTAAAGATGCGCCGCGGCGCACCTAGTGCGACTATCGTTGGCTTGCCAAACGTGGCTTATTGCAAATCCTCCCTAGTATGGTAGAGACCCATGTGACTGAATGCATTATTTCTTATTAGAAAAAAAATTTTTTTAAAAAACAATTACTAATAATATAATCCGCAAAACAATAGGTACTGCTGTTCAAGTATGTCATAACTTTGGGCTAATAATGATTAAGTAACCATCAATTTAGTTATAATTATTGCAGTTTTTTTTAACTTCTTATTTTAAGTACTCGTGCACCGATACTAATGACGTGTTTTAAAATAAAATTGTATTAACCTAATAAAGTTATATACAGACTTACCTTTATCTTGAAAAACGTGACGCTAAGCTGTTCGCCGGAATCGTCCTTTCCCAGTGAAGCAATAAAAATGTCGTGCCTGTAAACGATTAGTAACACGTAAAAGTTGCAATAGCATAAATAGATAAAAAAATGTGGAAGAACTAAATATTCTATTGCCTTTATTTCTTTTTGTTTCATTATTGTATTATTTTTGAGCCGGTAGCCAATGGCGAAGAGAGGTTCTCAAATGGCAAATAAAAAATATAAATAGCAAAGTATCGCCACACCTTGCTATTTGTTTTATTTTTTATTTTAAAGAATAAGGGCACAAACGAGCACACAGTGCACAATGTTGGGGCCCATAGACATTTACATCTATCCTCCATTAAGAAGAATCCAGATGCGTTGTCACCCCTGACGTCTAAGATGGAATGCCTTCCAGTAAAAAAGGTCTCTGGTTCTTTACACTCACCATACGATCAAACTCAGTATGAAACCACAGCATTAAGCTGCTATTTATGCAGGTATTCTGTTCTCCGGTCGAGCCGACCCATTCGTGCCACAATTATATAGCTGCATCATGGCTCAACCACGTATGAAGCTAGAACTAAATTGACTCGATTAAAGAAAAAAAAACTATTGATTGAGATATTTGTTCAGCAGTAGATTTGTGATGGTCTGGAATCAACTACATATTATTTAAAACTGTAGTTATGTAACGGTCTTTATTTATTTTTAAAAAGTTACCTAACACCTCATACACACACACACTACAATATACTGTATAGTGTAAAGGATATACAGACGACTAAATTGCACAGGGACAAGCAATCAGGCCCGGAACTATTATTTGCAATACATCTCATTCCATCAGAAAATCAACCCACAAGCGCGAAAAGCCACAACCAAACGCTTAGCTACTAAGGTTCTACATCAGCTTCTAAAAATCCATTGGTGAAGTATCACAGATTTACATTACAAAAGAATATTCACTCCGTTCCGGATTAAAGGGTAAGTCCTTTCAAATTGTGGAAAGAGTTTGACTTAGCTATTTTTTCAACTTTTGTAACTACTATCCCAACTGATGGTAAGTGGTGATGTATTTAAAGATGGTAAAGTGCACTGACTTCGCCTTGTCTTGAAGACACCCACATTATATTCGGATGGGAAGACTGTTGCTGGTAAATTATTCCACTCTTGTGTTGTACGCATTATGACCGACGAAGCTAAACGTTTGGTTCGAATGCGTGGAATGTCGATAACAAGGGTGTGGGGACCAGCTGAATGTCTGGTAGTCCGATGATGCAATGCAGAGGGAGGAATTAAGTCATGCAATTCCATAGGGTTGAAACGTATGTCAGTTAGGTAAAATACTTTTTGTGAACTGTCACAATGGAACGTTTTCTATAGAACTTGTATGAGAATACGAGTGAAAGTAATCATAGTTTCGTCTAGTGTAATAAACACCTTATTTGTATATTTTTAAATGAAGTTTTGAGACACTACGAAAAATAAAAAGAGCGGCACGAGTTGTGAGCACGAAGCGACAGTAGTGCATGAAACTACCATATCCACTTCCCAGCAAATGTGCATGCAAATGACACGTGAATATCCAATAAACGACGGCAGTGAACTGACGGACTAGACATATATCAATCGTGAATGATTCGTTCATTTGACCCGGATCGCATCAAATTATTGATGCGAACATTTTTGTACGTTCCGGATCAAACTATTGGCAGTACCTACGACCAAAGAGTACGGTAATGTCCGACAACCGATATTATCCAGCTGGTCTCACAGAGTACTGAACTTCAAAATGATACATTTGAATTGTCGACCCGAATGACACGGTTCGTAAAAAGAATCAATGCTTGAATGATTGGGTCACTAGAAATTAATAAATAACAAATGTCTATGACGGACCAATCACGTAAAATAATGTTCACCGTCCTTAGCCTGCGCCCTTGACTTCAATAAAGAGACTAATAAATCATAGTGTGCGCAGATTAAGGTTGTCTTCACGATTCACGCCGTAATCTGCGGCAAATTTAAATTAAAAATTGTACTAATAGCTAGTTAATAAATTAATATTCAACTTATTAATGATGGTGTCAACTTTCCAATTATAATAATTCAATTTGTTAAAGATTTTTATTAAAAATTAGATTACTGCAAGTATGGTTCAGACAATTACCTTTTGACAAGTTGCTGTACGCGTTGTTCTCGTTCGCGTATTTCACTTCGCAACTTCCCGCAGTCATCAAGCAACGCGCGCTTCTGCACGCTGAACATGTCACGTCGCGCGGCGATCTCTACCAGCCGCTCTTTCATTGCCTTTCAATACATCAGGTGAGATTATTAAAAAGCTAGCAATATAAAGCAGTTTCTTTTTTCAAAGCAAAGAAATTAATTTACAACCTAAATACGTCCTACTGGTAGGCACAGACGGACGCTTATTTCCGAGAAGGTTATGAAAATATTAGTCTGCCGTGCTTAGTATCACCCATTAATATGCACTTTTGCTGTTTACTTAATCGAAGTTCATTGTTCTGCTATGGAATTCTTAGGATTGAAATTTTGAGAACTGAAATTTACACCTAGCTAAAATAATTATTTTAATTTCGAAAAAAAATTGTCTGGCAAATACAGTAGATGACTAAATATCCATTCAAATGCTCCTGAATTCTGAATAAAATGTTGCAGTGTAATCTGGACGAGCGTTGTCATAGAGAAGTATGAGACTGGAGCGGTTGACTATTCCCGGTTGTTTATATATCGAGCTTGCGAACTTGTTCATTATTATTTGCAATCCTAAGCAGTATTATCATTAATTCATCATCCATTAGGTACAGTTCACAAATCCACTGCTGAACATAGGCTTTTCCTATAGTTTGCTTCACAGTCCTCTATGAGGGAGATATTTGCCATAGTTGCCACACTTGGAAGGCGGGTTATCAACAGCAATTATTTTATTATTATTGAGATATTATCAGGAAGATGCTGCAACCCATAAAACTCTGACATAGTTTAAGATTAATCCACTTTCACTATAACTTTCCTTTCATCATTATCACTATTAAACTACTACTACGATCATTCACAGAGCTCAATATCGAGGTAGAAATTTCGAGAACATCACTGATATCACGATTTATGTTTAAAAAGAAATCTAGTTTTCAATTATGTCGCAGACAAAAGCAAACTGCAGCATAACTAATGCGCAACCGATTTATTTTAACCAATTTTATGGCTTTAATATAACAATAACTTTAATTTACAATTCTAAGTAAAACGTAAGATTATTTCTTATATTTACGCGGACGCTACATATTGAATAAAACTACTTTTACGGATTCTATCGCGTTTAATTAACTTATATTTTTATTAATTCCCGACGTTTCGGGTGTTTTACAGCACCCATGGTCACAGGGGACTGAGGTGATTGACGTTCCGATGTCAGAGTTAACCCAGAGTACCTTCAGCTTTTTTAATTAGCTTAGCCCATAAACACCTGCAACCAAGTACGAACAAAGAAGGGTATAAAAGCGAACTTCTGAGGAGCGTAGATCGTGGTAGCGCCACGCTGCAGCTATATTGTGGCTGCAACACGAATGGGTCTACTCGACCGGGGTTCGCACGCTCTCACAGAACACCAACGCAAAATAGCAGCTTAATGCTGCTGTGTTTCGTATGGTGAGTGTAGAAAACCGGAGACCCATTTTACTGGAAAAGAGGCATTCCATCTTAGTCTTCAAGGGTGACAACGCATCTGCATTTTGGTTCTTAATCGAGGAATAATGTAGATGTCTATGGGCCACAGCATCCACTTACCATCAGGTGGACTGTGTGCTCGTTTGTCATTTTTCTATAAAAAGAAACTAATAGTGTCATAACGCATAACCAGTGTTTAAGTATAAGAGGTGTCTAGATCGCCTGTCATTCTCACCGCGTCGAGTTGCAGTCGTCGCTCGTCGAGCGTGTAGGCGGTGCGGTCGAGGCCGGCGAGTGCTCGCGACGCGTGCGCAACTCGGAGCCGCATCAACGCCTCCTCCACTCGCAGCCTCCGCCATTCCTCGCGCATCGACACCACCTCCTTATCACCGCCAGTTACATTGAGCATCGATGTTTTGAGACGACTTTGCTGGAAAAATAATCATATTTTTATTGATCAAACCACTTAATAATAAAGTGATCGCCACCATACTGGTTCTATGAAAATTCATTTAAAATTGTATAAACAAAATTATTGTTAAGTGAAATTATGTTTTAAAAAATAAAAGTCCTGCTGGGATTCTTGCTGGTTCTTCCCAGGACAGGTATTTTCCGAACCAGTGGTAAATAAAAAATAACTTTCAATAAGTATTACGTAATAATCTATATTGAATAAAAATCATTCTACTCATTCTATTCTTTTCTATACATATATAAAATAGCAGCAAATCCTATTTGTCACAAGATCAAACATAATTTTCTCTTAGTTTTGGTAGCCCAACAGTTGAAGACATGCAAAAAATAAAGTTATGATATTTCTTGTCCAGTTTGATGAACCGGTGATGTGTTTTTGACCCCCGACGAAAACAGAGGGGTGCGGGTGTTATAAGTTGTAGTGTGTATCTGTGTATCTGCGGTCTGTCTATGATATCATAGCTTCTGAACGGATGAACCGATTTTGATTTAGTGTTTGTCGTGTTCTATTCAGCCGTTTGAAGATCAGCTCTTTTTGTTCCAGAGGTTTATAAAATTTTTATTTATCTATTTTGATCATATGTATCTTCTAGGTTTCAAACGTCCAATTTCAAAAGTGATGTAGACCATACTATGTTAAACAAATTTTGACATTGCAAAGTTTTAGTTTAAGCTCGAGATAATCTCTGAATACCGGATCTAGAGTCAGGTTTGTAATGGTAGTCATTGGTGAGGTAGTATTAATGTACGCACTTGTGGGAAGGAAAGTAGTGCTTCTCATACAAGGTCATACACCACATAATTTCAATTAACAGAAAAATTAAGGGCTTATACAGTACCATTTAAATATCACACATATGAAATCGTAAATTGTAGTTTTATTTGAAATAATGGAAGCAGTACAGAAGAACTGTATTATTTTTACTACATTGTCATTGCACTAGAGTACTTCAACCAATGCACGTATTGTCAGCTTACTTGGAATGGTTAATAGCATTACAAGTATTTTTAATAGGTTTTAATAGTTAAACATGCCGCTATCGCAAAACAGGCAGTAAGACTCGCAGATCAGCCGTAATATTATATATTCTAATAGGTATATGAAAATACATGTTACATTGTTCGTATTTTATGCGCTGCCGTACAGTTAATCAGATTGCGCTGAAACTTTGTCAACTTATTGCTTTAACTAGGCATAGTAAATTAACTTATAGTATGTGGCGCGCGTCAAATTTACCGTCAAATGATGTAACTTTCATTTGACGGTAAATTTGACGCGCGCAATCATTAAAATTAATGAATGTATTATCAATACTAATTAAACAATATAACTCTTTCAAATTCAAAACGATATTTCAACCATTATCTCTTCTGCAGCAGCAATGCGCCGAGTACCAGCTAAGAATATATAAAATGGTAGATTACTGCATATGTAACTAAAAAAAAACACAACATAATGACGAATATGGTCAAATTAAAACCTGCATTGACTTATGAATTGTAATTGGCCCTCGCTCACCAGATTGGCGTGTTCGGCACTCTTAGCCTCGAGCTCTCTGGTAAGTCGGCGCATGTCGTCGTGCAGACGCGACGCGTGCCGCTCCAGCAAGGCAACGCGGGCCGCGTGGCGGGCGCATACGTCTTTCAATCTGATAACACAGTTTGAAGTTTTTCATTTTCATCAGCTGATAATAGCCCGCTGTCGGATATACAACTCTCCAGTGATCGGGAGGATTAGCACGGAGAGCCGCAATCGCCACGTTTTTTTTTTTAATATAAAAAAGTGACACACTAACTTACTGTCCACGTAGTACATATGGTAAGTGGCTACTGCAGTCCATGCAACCTGTGATTATACTGATTGAAAAAGAGTTGTACCTAATGTACGTTATCTAAGAATATAGGCGATAGCAGTATAATTTGTCTTGAATGTTTGACGCTATACATCTTCACCTTCGTTATTTAAAGTTTAAAATATCAGCCTACGTGTGTCTGATAGGCACAGGCCTCCTTTCATTCCTGAAAGGGATCAGTCCGCCGCGCCGCCTGTATGTGTTTTGGCGGACTACACAACATGTCATCGCGATATTTTTAGTTTCTTAGGAATGCAGATGTTTTCCATCACCGCCGAGGACGTGGTAAATGAGCACTTTAAAGTGCAACTAACAATGTCGCTGGTGGCGCTTAAGATCGAACTCTGTTTGCTCCCGTACAGAGGTGAGCGATCGTCCCCTTATATACCGCAGCTTATCACGGAATGGAGTTTTTAAGGTTACTGAAGTAGTAAATTCTTTAGGTCTACCATCACATACTTCATAATCATTCAAAAATCGTTATTCACATTACGCTTGACTAACGCATCTTTGGCTACATTACCATCAGGTGAGACACAAGTCAAACACTATAATAAGTAAATAAGCAAAACGTTATTTCTACTACCAGGGCGGCGCCACTTCGGATAGAGATGAAATTTAACTTGTGAAACTTAGACGAGGTTTAAATAAAGTTGTCTTTTTTTTACAATTATTGCCTCTGGACTTGCGTTGCCAGAAATCGCGATAATCAGCCAGCCAGACACGCAACCAAAAGTAGTTTATATTATATGATGTAATTATTATCAATCTCTGTTTAATAATAAGCAATTGATGGGATTATACCAAGTTGCGATAAATATAAAAAGTAAATTCGTCAAATCTACCTACCTATTCTCTCGTTCAGAAAGTTCCGCGGAGCAGTCTCTCTCAGCTTGGGCGCCTTCCATATGTGTAACGCGAGATCCAATGGTTTCCACTTGGTAACACTATAAAAATTACTGGGTTATATAAAATGTACACAAATATAATGTCCTGATGTCCAAATTCCTCATTTAATAATATAGAAAGATTCAAAGATACATAATATTTAACTAATCAAATAAGGCCATTATTGTCTTTATACAATAATTAATGTCTCCCTATCTCTAAATACTCAAAATATCCCGGTGCATAAATCTACATTATATATTAGAATTCTTTTGCGGTATCAATTACACTACATAATTTCATCTTTTATTATCATCAACTACACTATATAATTTCCACATATCATCATCATCATCATTACAGCCCTTCTCAAGTCCACAGCTGAACATAGCCCTCCCCCAAGGAATGCCAGAAAGCACAGTCCTGACCCACCTGCATCCATCGACTTCCTGCATGTCTTACCAGGTCGTCACAACATCTAGTAGGGCGACGCCTTACACTTCGCCCGCCGGTACGAAGCTACCACTCGAGAACCTTTCTTCCCCATCGGTTGTCGGTTCTCCGAGCTATATGGCCGGCCCATTGCCACTTCAGCATACTAACTTTCCGTAGCTCGCTGAGCGACTTTGAGCTTCCTCATACGGCCATCAGTGAAGGACCAATTTCCACATATATATCAACTATATTTTAAAAGATAATATGTTAAACTAAATTATTGTTTTTTTTTTTCTATTCGGCTCTACCCATATCCACACTTACCAAGGTTAGCTGATAGAGAAAGCCATTTCGCCTTTGTATCAATCATTTTAAGTGCAATAAAGATTTTTCTATCTATCTATTCTGATTTCTCTTTCATAGACATTCTGGGGTCAGGCATTGATAATTTTTTAGGCATATTTGTATTTTTGCGTGTGTTAATTACGTGTGCCATGTGGGCATGAGATATGTGTAATAGAATCCACCACGACTTCAATTCGATAGATCAGGACTTAATAATAAACTAAAAAGGAGATAAACACATACGATAGCATAGAGTGATTCCTTCAGTGTTTGAAGATTACGTTCTATGTTGCGCTGCTTAGTATCCAGTTTGTTCATTACGGCTTTTGAAGCTGTAAAATAATTTCAAAGCTATAACATATACAGAGACTTTATATTTCATGTAAATTTTGTTCATCGTAGCTATATGTACAACTAAATAACCGTTCTTGCCCGGTCATATAAATATATAGCTGTCGCCACGACATGGTAGCAAAACGGCCTCAACATTTTAGAAATCATAATTTTCAGAAGATATTAATGACGTCCACAGTAAAAGCTTGAATGATGAAACTCTCCAGGAAATATTTTGTAATTTCAATATTTTGTTGATAAAACAACTTTATCGATAAAATTACTGTTAATAGAAGTTACCTTAACTACAACTGTGATACCACGCTGTACTGTACAATATCTACACAAATAAATAAAATTGAAGTGTATGTTTTAATGTCAAAATAATAGCCTTTTACTAGATGCATATGAAAGTATATATATGGTACTTATGACAAAAAACACAAGTTTTTAAATGTTTGTATGTCTGTCTGTTTATGGCTGGACCGATTTTAACGGTACTTTCACTGATAGATAGCTGACGTTCTTAGCATGACGTAGTAACTTATTTTAGAAACTAACTTTTTTGAAAAACGTACTTATTTTTATTTTAGAAAAATATAAAAACCCATGAAATCCAATCGTAATAACATCAACGCGGACGAAATCGCGGGGAACAGCTAGTTTTCTATAAAGTTTGCATTAGGAATTGGCTTCTGCATCTCGAGAAAGTGGTGTATCATTTTTTGTAGTTTCCTTCTTCCGCCTTATCCGGGCTTTGCCCAGGGAGCAAATACTCTAGAACATGTGTGAGATCGGAGTCATCATCTTTTCAAGTGGGACACCCGATTTTTAAGAAGGTAAGAGGTTTCCATTTCCTTTACTAGCTACGACCATGATCATTTGTCATGGATTTGTGCGACATAATATAAGTTGGCAATATTTGCTACTTCAGTCTCGCCTCCGCCTCTCGTCTCTCCTCCAAACACATCCGATTAAGATTTCTTCTTTCTTTATTCTTTTTCTATTTTTCAATAAATCTTTAGAAATAATTTGTTTACCAGACGGAAAAACAGAGCAAAACTTTTTTTAACCATTTGGCCATTTTAGAAAAACAAATTTTAACATTATTATATTTAATTACATCAATACCTAGTTTTTATATTTTTATTTCTGTTATTTCAAGGAACAACTTAGGTACATTGTCATATATTCGTAGTGACTTTAAAATTTCATATAAAAAGTTACCTTTTAGTTGCATATTAAACAGTTTCTCCTCGTTTTTCAGCTCTAAAAGCTTCTGATTCTCTACAAATGAACAGTGCATTGCTTTCTGTAGGTTTTGTGTGAGTTGGCTTGCGTAACGTTCTTCCTCCTGTCAACATATAGCCATTACAGTTTACCGAATACATGGGATATGTCAGTTGTTCAAGTATTAAAGTTGGCAAAAATTACATTGCGTACATCCGCTCGATAAAACAAAATGATGTGTCTTACCTAGTTTGAAGAGCACCTCCCTCCCTCCCTCAATTGCGTGCACTATCCCCGTCACCACTAATCCTAGCACCACTACACTAGGAAAGACACACCACTGATGACAATACGACACGTGTTTCGTCTGTACACGAGGCATCTTCAGGTGATGTAGACTCTGCTGTGGCTGACCGCTAAGTGAGCGGCGAGCAGTGTGACCAGATTTCGTTTGACGAATCTACTGCTTGTGGAGGTTCAAAGCTACTGAATTCTACCAAAAGAGAACGAGAAAATACTAAAAATCTATTACATTTTTTTGTTGTCGTGTTACAATGTAAAAACGTGAATGTTTTCTTTTTTAAACTATAAAGTAATAAAAATAGCAAAGAAACCACCATTAATTAAAGAAACCAATTATTTGAAATTAAATTCTAAATAAAAATATAGTTAAAAAAATAATAAAATGAAACTTAAAGTTAAGATTCTTCGTCTTTATGTTGGGTAACATTGTCATAAAGCTGTTTTGAGTCCATTAACTGGATCATACTTCTGTCAGGATCAAATCCTTCTAAAAAAAAGGGGTTCCTGGAAAAGAGGGGCTACGACAATCCTTCCAATTGTCGTAGCCCCTCTTTTCCATGCATTATTGCAGCAACATTCTTATTATTAAATCGATTTCGATCTTGATTTTTAATCCTATTAATATCGGAAAATATTATTTCTACTTTGGCGTTTGACAAAGGTAGTATCGGCATTTGCGTCACAAATCGAGACAAATTGCCATACTTTGGTTTACTATTCGCATCACAGATTTGCCTGACTTCACTTTTTCAGTTTCAGACGTCGAACTAGAAATTGACAATAAATTAGACAAAGAAACATCTAATTTTAATTCCCTATATTCATTGTCAACAATTTGCATGTTTTCTGTTGCAACTAAGTTAGGAAACCTTTGGAATATTCTTATCAGAGTTCGAAATTCACCATACACTGCTTTTTGGGGATCGATGAACGACAAATCCTGCAAACAATTATCTTGTACAGGCAGTCTTTGCAGAAATTGGTTACTAAGCTCGATCAAAAATGACATAATCCTATAATAAATTGACATCTGTTAAGGAATTCTTCAATTTTAGATCTCATTCGAACACCATCTTTTAATGATTCCAATGTCATTGCTACGTTTGTGCCCACGTACATGTTTTGTATAGAAAGGAAATGCATTCTTAAAATTGGATTTATTGACTGAAGCGGAGTAGTTTTTATATAATTTATCTTCATAAAGCAACTCAAAATGGAACTCATCATGTTTTGTATGTCTGTTTCAATTTTATGAATAAGTGTCTGATTACTTTGTAAAATAACGTTAAATTTTGTAGTCTTGGGTATTATAAAATCTAAAAAGTAAAGATAAAGTTTTCTGAGTGTGAGGTTGCATTTTTTCGGAGTATTACTTTATTGCTGCTGCAAGTGCCTTGGTAGTACTAACATCTGTGCTCTCGTCGATAATGATCGAAAATACTACTTTTCTCAGTTTCATTTTCCAGTTTTGGACATAATTCTGCAAGCATTTTTTCTTCGAAGTTATTGCCTAAAACGTTGTAGGCAATTGCGGCAGATTTAGTTCTTCTACCGGAAAAACGTTTTGCGATTTAGGAGTCATGAAATACACTTGAAATAACTTCGCTTACATGATCCATTATGCGAAAAGGAATATTATGTTCAACTAAGGCAGCTACAATGCTGATTTTGGCTTTTTTTTTTACTTCTTCCGAAATGGTTCATGTTTTGAAAAGCGTATCAATCTTTAACCAAAGAAGTTAAAAATAAGTATGCAGAACATTTCATATAGCGCAATATAGTATCAAAAACTAAGCAATTTTTACATCTGGGGGCACAGCAGTGCCCCCGCCAAGTCGAGCAAAAAAGCGGCACGGCCGTACCATCCTTTTCTCGAAGCAGTTCAGCCCATTTTAGAAACCCTATAACTTCGTTGTGGATAAAACTAGAAGCCTGATCTGATCTTTTATGTTTTAAATATATTGACTTGGCAATCGCACTAAACAATCTAATTTAATGTAATATGTATTACTTGAGAGATACATTGTGTTTTCGTGCGATGGTCAAGTCAATATATTTAAAACATAAAATATTTTTAATATTGATATGGTCACTATAAGATGTTGTTAGGTTAGCTAATTACGTAATAACTTAAGACAGAAGGACCCTTAAATAGGGACTGAATAAATTAACCGACTTGGTATTACATGGATCTCAAAACTTTTTAAGGTAAAAGAACTGAGTTGCGAGACTTGGTATTTTTTACAAGTTATGTTTTTGATGGCATAGCATTTAACATGAATAAACACACATAGTTGTAAAGTATTTGTTATGTAAATGCGTAGGTAATAAACGTACATAAAACAGCGAATGTTTGCTTTTGAGTGGAAATAAACTTTAAAACATAATACGGGTTCACACTACTTCGTAAGATGAAATATTAAAAAGTCTTAACAAAAAACAAAAATTAAGCCTGGCGTCGACTACAGCAGAAATGCGTCGAATCAAAGCGAGTCGCATTTATTCCTAGTGCGTCCATCTCTGAAGAATCAAATTGAATTGTTCATTCATCGCAAATTCTTCATCAAAATAGGTCGTTTTTGCCTCATGGACAGCTCGAATGAAGAGATGTTTTTATTTCATCGTGATAATGTGGATCTTCATGATTAAACAATTCTGGATATTGTTGGACCAGTGATATCAATAGTTCTTCATTCATTTTCATTTAAACAAAAAATTTTTACGAAAACGAAATAGAAATTAATTAAAATACGCTGGCGCGCATCCACTTCTCTCGTCGGTCACAAAGGCTCGTCGCTAATGGACGCAGTTTCATAGTAAATATATAGGAGGCGACTTTCTGCGATTCGATTCGACTCGGCTCGGCGAGCCTAGTGGACGCTTAGCCTTACATTCCACATATTAACGCATGTAACTTGCATACCTGAGAAATGCCGGAATATCCTTTCATATTTTTCATATACTTTGATGTAGCCATGTGTTTTTTCAAAGACGCCACTCTACTTAGTACTTCACAGTTGCATGCTTTACAATGAGCACTCGTAGTGTTTACCTTAGATTTACATAACCTACTTTTAAATGAGAGGTTTTGCTCCCGTTCATGGCGATATCCTTGTGTATATTTACGTTTCATTTTAAACTCGATTATAAAAATTCTCAATAAAGGAATTCCCACTAGTCTATAACACTCTATGCTCACGGCACGAATGTTAAAACGACGAGAAGAAAAGAACGAAAATTAAATAGTTACAATCCATTCGATGAAAGGGTGAGTACCCCGCATTTATCCGATATGCCAAAAAAGTACTAGAATAACTGAAAAGCGTAAATCCTACTAAAATATACCAAATAATTTTTACATACTAAATTCTGTTGCCAGTACCTCAAAATCTACCAAAAAAGTAGAAATCTACTAAATCTGGTCATGCTGGCGGCGAACCAAAACAACTGCTATTTATACAACCCGATGACGCAACCGCTCCCTACTTAAGTAGCGAGCGACTGTGTCTTACGATAAAACATGCGACCAATCACCACCTGCTGTACGCAGTCGCTTGTAAAATTAAAAACAAACAGCCGCGCAACCAATAGCCGATCACCGTGAGGGTGTCAAACGACCATATTGCGAGGCTTTATATATAAAACTATTCGTCTTTCCCAAAAGGTTTGCTCGAAGAGAACTCTTATTAGAGTTAAGCTCCCCTTTGTACATCTTATTTGAATATTTAATAATTGTTATCAACTTACAGTGTGTACAATAAAGAATAAAGACATTCATACATTTATTAATAATAACCATACAACATAGATCATGCACATACACCACAAAGAATAAGCATACATTAGTACTTACATTCAACATGTCCTCCAGCTCCTTTGCTCTTTTTTCGGAACATTTAATTTTGTCGGTAGACTCTAATAACTTTGCCTTTAATTCCTTGATCTAGAAGAAGATATTTAAATGATTATGAGATCAACCTCTAAAATATCTGAAACTTCAATGATTAATATAAGTACTATATACTTAGTAGCATATTGTACTTATATTAATCAAAATATTAATAATTCTATTAATAAGTATCTTATATACTATATAATATATACTACATAAAATATAATATACTACTTTGGATAACAGACAATTCTTTATTTCAACCTTTATGTATTTAATATTGATACAAACATGTGATCTCTGTTGATGTAGATGTGAAAAGCAAATAAAACGAATAGTCATATAAACATCGCAACAAAATAATCAATTATCCGTCCTTTACAGCCTATAAAAGTCTACTGCTGAACATAGGCCTGCCTCATAGAGAAATTTTGCCATAGTTGGCAGCTAGCTTGGCAGGCAGGTTGGCAGATTTTTATTATTGAGAGTATAATCAGAAAGATGCTGCCGCCCATGTTCTGTTTCAGTTCTTCTCTGTCACCTCTTATGATACCCACTGCAAGAGGTAGTGGATTCTTTTACTCCGCCTGCCGTGTGCAAGGCTGAGAAATATTCTAAGCAAATGTACTATGTTCTAATAATAAAAATACCTTATCGGCAAGATTTTTCAGTGCGGCATCTCTTCGACGCTGCTCGTCAAAAATTTCACGATTTTCCATACGAATTTTTTCAAGAGAAATACGCATGTTACTCATCACGCGATGCAAACTTTGTGCCTGTAAAAATAAATATATATACATATAATCACAGAAATGTTAAATTTGCGGTGAAACCGAAAAAATACATCTGCAAAATCCTGCCGCCTGTTACGACAGCCACGAGACGATATTGGAATCATCTTACACCGCCTGTGTACGCCTATTTCTGGCAAATATGCATTTTGTTGTATTTTCTTTCTTTATTCCTTTTTCTTAACTGCTTTTTGTTGACGCCATTTACATACGTATACATACATATAATCACGCCTCTTTCCCGTAGGGGTAGGCAGAGACCACTTCTTTCCACTTGCTACGATCCTTACATACTTGTTTCGCTTCGTCCACTTTCAATATTCCCTTCATACATGCTCTACGGTTTAGGGTACTCTTGACCTGGCCTTTTTTCAAGAAGTCCTTGATTTGGTCTAGAAACGTCCGCCTAGGTCTACCCCTTCCAACACTTTCATTCACACTCGCCTTATACACTTTTTTCGTCAATCGTTCTTCATTCATTCTCTCGACATGGCGAAACCATCTCAGCATACCTTTCTCAATTTTTATCACTACATCTTCTTTCAGACTACAACGTTTCCTTATCTCACTATTTCCTATCCTGTCACTCAGTTTAACTCCTATCATACTTCTTAACGCTCTCATCTCAACTGCATTTATTCTGCTTTCATGTTTCTTCTGCCATACCCAACTTTAACTTCCGTACACGAGTGTCGGAATCAACACCCCTTCGTGCACAGCCAAACGAGCCTTGTTAGACACCTTCCGACTGCTCATAAAGGAGTGCAAAGTTCCATTCACCATGTTTCCTGCATTCACTCTTCTTTCGATATCACTCTCACACTTTTCACTTCTATACTAAAATAAACATGATATATATAAAAACGTCACCTCGCTGTCTAAGGTGAGGTTTTCCTCGGTGGTCTGTTGGTGCTGGAAACGTATGAAGCTAAGCTGCTGAGCCAGGGCGATGTTCTCTCTCGTGGCCTCGGCATTGTTCCCGCGCTGTTGATCACAAAATGCCTGCTGCTCCCGGCACTGCTCTGATAAGTTGTTCGCCTCCGTTTCCAGCACTGCGTAGTCCTAAAATGTTTCAATTCGTATCAATATAAATAAAGACGTCGCATTTCCATTTATTCGACTAGAAACTTTTTTTTATACATGTACTATTTTGTTATAATACGTAATATTTTAAGAATATTTCTCGATTTATAGAACAAACTCGGGTTATATGAAGCAAAGTTCAAAATCATGGTCGTTTATAAAAATTATATATTTTAAAAAGTCGCAAACGAGAATTTTTAATATTTACCTCTTTTATATGTCTGATGTCGGTGTCACGTTGTCTTAAGTTCTCGACAGTACTGGTCCACATGGCCATCATCTGCTTTCTTTGCTCCATGCCCTCAATCACCTATAAATAGAGTCCATGAGTCCGTGTTAGCAATGTTCACAAGTTGGCCCCGCAACATAGCTATATAATAATAAGGACAAAAAAGACCGTCAATGACGGTTTGAACACTTGACTTAATGGTTTTGCACTTTTACACATAATTTTGAGTATCAAAATGGTTAAAAATTGTAATGGGAGTTTTATTAAGTAGAACTGAAACGGAAATTTGTGGGTCGTGACAAGAATTCACAACTCTTCATTTCATATTATTTACATTCCTACACAAAGAACAAAACAATTGTTCTATGAGGGTTCCTTCTTCAGTACAGAACCCTAAAATATTCTTATACTACTTTTAAAGTAAATTTCTTAATGCTTGCAGCAAACCAGTGAATTTCACCTGAGCAGAGATTCTCTCGCAGGCCCGCTCCTCCGCGCTTAAGTTAGACACAAGCTGGTTGAGGCGATCACTAATTCGATCGTGTTCCTGCTTCAGTTTTTGTCTTTTTATTTCCAACGCCTGAAATAGATATTTAGTGGATCTATAACAGCCAAATTTTTTTACAAACTTAATTATGACATTACCCATTGTACTATGTTAAAAATAATACATTTTTAGAATTATTAAAGTCGTTAATTTAAGAATTTTTTTCTTTAATTTAGAAATTCATATTTCAATAAATAAATAACTATTAAAGCATTAAATAAAGGAATTCATCACAATCGTTATTGTCACGAGATTGTCGTAAGGGTTGAGTAAGGGCTACTGCTAACCGTCTAATAGTACATTCATTCTCTTATAGAAGATACATCAGATGTAAAGTATCTCATCAAATGAACAGCACTAACTTCAATGGCGCGATACGTTTGTTACTGCAATCGCTAAAACACATGCCGTGAGTGGCATATCTCCCTTTATACTTTATATATCCCTTTATACCTTTTATACTTTTGGAGAAGCCCACATACAATGCTAACCAAATAAGAAAAGGAATAGATCTAACGCCATATGTGACGTCTTCATCTGTCAATTCAAACCAGTAAGGTAGGGTGAGCAAAACTGATATTTATGAAATAATATTTATTTTATACAAGAACAAGGAACGAAAAAACGAAAAATAGGTTTATCTGACACATAAATATACATTATATATAACACAAAAATAAGTAAATAAATAAATACATTATATATATATATAATTTATTATATCCTTATATGTATTTAAATAAGCATGATCTATATGTGTTTTACATGTGCATGCATGCGTGCGTGGGTGCGTACGTGCGTGCGTGTGTGTGTGTGGGGGGGGGGGGGGGTGTGTGTGTGTGGGGGTGTGTGTGTGTGGGGGTGTGTGGGTGTGTGTGTGTGGGGGGGGGGGGGGGGTGTGTGGGTGGGTGTGTGTGTGTGTGTGTGTGTGTGTGTGTGTGTGTGTGTGTGTGGGTGGGTGTGGGTGGGTGGGTGTGTGGGTGTGTGTGTGGGTGTGTGTGTGTGTGTTGGTGTGTGTGTGGGTGTGTGTGGATGTGTGTGCGCCTGCGTGCGTGTGTGTGTGTGTGTGTGTGTGTGTGTGTTTGTGTGTGTGTGTGTGTGTGTGTTTGTGTGTGTGTGTGTGTGTGTGCGCGCGTGTGTGTTTCTCACCCTAGCCCACTGCAGTACACACATCTCCCACTAACTTTCTGGTTTGCTGGTAGAAAATGCCATATGCCACCGTTTGTACCTTTAGTATAATAAGGTGTATAAATAAATAAATACATTTATGAATGTAAATTATGTTCTTGACGTGTATATAAAAAAAACAGTTTTACTTTTTTTTAATAATTATGTCTTCAATAGATTTGGTAATACCATGACTCAATTAAATAAAGTAGAATAAGTGTTAATAATAAGCAAATTAATTTTTTATGCACTATTTTTCAAGAGACAGTTGACAGATCGAGGTCATTGACGTTTCTATTCTTAGTTGAATAGCATTGTACTTTAGTGGACTCCTTACACAATAATGAAGAATATGAAATTAGTGGACATTACTTTTGCCTTAGACAAGTCCTGTTTAGTAAACTGCTCAATTGTGGTAATGTCGTTAGCGCTTCTTTCCAGCGCGGCGCGCCATTCCTGTAACGCACCTCGCTCGCCGCATACTTCACTCTTTAACGTGTCCGCCTTTTTCAAGAGACGCGCTATACTGGCTGAAAATCAGAGCAATTACGAGACTAAATAAACAAATATAAATAATAATTGGTTAAGCAATATTCAAAATATTGTGAAACTAGTACAAGTGTTTATCCAAATCACAAAAATGTGACCACCAAGTGACAACAATCACAGGTATAAATTACACATATATTTATTCAAAATGTTAAATATGACTGTTCATAAATGATGTGGGGGATGAATGATACCACATTTTCTATGTATGGCAACCTCACTAGTGCGCAGTGCATCCTTGTTGACTTATATTAATTAGGTCTTTACCTATGAAACTGTCTTTTTTATAAAATAAGTTAACACGATTTTTTTCTATATTTTTTATTTCTATTACTCAAATCACCCATGCAATCGATGCATCTTTGCCAACGCAGTTGCAGTTTATTGATGCCCTTCTTAAAGAAATCAGCTGGATAGGAGGCAACAAATTCTTCAAAGACATTTTGTACTTTTGTTTTGCCTCTCTAATTTGGACAACTAAAAATTTATGCAAATTTAAAAAAAAGTAAAAATCTGTAGGTGCAAGGTCTGGTAAGTACGACGGATAATGCAGAGCTTCCAATCCCAGCTTTTGTAACTTGGAGACCGTCCGTTGTGCAGTCTGAGGTCGCGCGTTGTCGTTTTGTTGTATTCAGTTCTTCATAGTATACATCTGTTTTGTTTTCTAATCTGTTCTTATTTTGTTTGGTAAGAATCTTTAATGGATCATTCCGGCGCTAGACCACCAAACAGTGACCATCAATTTTTTAGGGGTAAGTTTTCGTTTAGAGCATTGTTTAGGTGCTTAACCAGGATCCAACCAACTTCCTGAGCGCTTGCAATTGTTAAACGGAATCCATTTTTCGTCGCAGATAACAATGCGGTTCAAACTTCTTTTGTTTATGTGCCTCTTGAGCAGTGCAAGGCACGTCTCAACGCGTATTCCGCGCTGGCGACCATTGAGTTCATGGGGCACCCATTTGTTAAGTTTTTTACCTTGCCAAATTGACACAAATGGACCAATATTGTTTTGATGCTAACGTCGAAAGCTGCTGCTAATTGACCCGTTGATTGAGTATCATCAGCTTCCACAATCGCTTTTGATTTTTTTTTATAGAATAAGGGTGACAAACGAGCACACAGTCCACCTGATGGTAAGTGGTTGCTATGGCCCATAGACATCTACATCTATCCTCGTTTGCGAATCAAAATGCAGATGCTTTGTCACCCGTGAGGACTACGATGGAATGCCTCTTTTCCAGTAAAAAGGGTCTCCGGTTCTCTACACTCACCATACGAAACACAGCAGCATTAAGCTGCTATTATACGCTGGTATTCTGTGAGAGCGTGGTCCTTCCCCGGTCGAGCCGAGCCATTCGTGCTACAACTATACTATTAATATAGCTGCAGCATGGCTCTACCACGTAAAAATGTGATTCGTCATTGTCGACCAGTTTTCCACCTGTTTCGACCTGAAAAATGAACCCCGTAGTGGAAGATATGATCCGATTTTATGCCATTGCATAGACTTCTATTTACTCTCAGGGTCATAGTGGTGAACCCACGTTTGGAAAAGCAGCTGCAACGCCTACAGGAGGAACAGGCCCGCCAACAGGAGGAACAGGCCCGCCAAAAGGAGGAACAGGGCCGTCGGTTGGAAGACCAGCTCAAACGCTATAAGGAAGAGCAGATGCTGTAATTATACTATTGAATATCAAAAAGATTTAAATATATATATACAGCGGGCATATGGAACATTTGCATACAAAAACTTTGAGCTCGCGCGTGTTTGACGCCCTCTAGCTAAACACAGCAAAACTAGGCTGAATATTTATTAGGAAAACATTTCAGCCATTAGGTAAATGTAATGTAAAAACCCGTTTTAGGAATGTTACCGTTTCGACATCAAAGTATCGGTATTCGGTAATGTTGTTGAAGGTTACTAAGTTTGTAATACTTTACGATATAATGATAGGGAATATGCATGCTTTTTAATCATATAAACTTATTTATTATGACTTCCATCACGCTAAAAAAAATCATATAAACTTTTGAAGTCATTTTAGTGTCATAAAATAAAATATTTAATTTCCAAAAACTAAGAATCAATTCAAACAGCAGTCACATTGGTGGCATCTAGGATGACGTCACTAGGGTCATTACACGCTATAATAATAGAAACATGAAATCCAATAAGAGAGCGCCTTCGTGTTTTTGTAATTGGTTTCTTTAAAAATACACTTTAAATATAACATATATTAGGAAAGTACTGAACTTTTAACAGTGGTAGAGCCACGCGGTAGCTTTTGCTGTGTAGTGGGATACAGTATAGTTTACTGTTTCACTTCCTTAAATATTGTAGATGATTAAACCCGCTTCCTGTATAATATTTTTATCGATAACACCAATCGATAAACGTTGTCAATCAATAACTCATTTGGTGAAGTTACAGGATAACAGAGGGCGCTTATTACAATAATGATAAATGTTCTAGAATATCTACAAGAAACAATAAAATTTAAAAACATTATACTTGCGATAATAAACCGAAATCACATTCAGTTTTTGCTATGTATCGGGAGTTACCATACCTTAATTGCACAATAGGGCATATTATCTTAAAAAATATTTTTTAAAGAACAATGGCAGAAAATACCTGACAAAAATTATTATTATTATAATTATTATTAAGTTATACATAAAATGAGTTTTATTATTTTTCTATGATTTTTCAAATAAAAATGTATTTTAATTAAAGCCACAGACAAGAACAAACATTTTTAGGAATATCAAATGACTTAAATCATTTTACTCTATTCAAATGTTGCCATTTACTATATTCATACTATTTCATATACAATTTGTAAGACTACCGACACAACACACAAAAACAAAATATTATTAAATTAAGTTATTGTTAGTAATATAATTTATAATAAAAATAAAAGTGATATGGTTGAAAATAAGTCTCTTACAAAGAACTTCCTACAATAATACATTATCTCAATCATAGTAATATGTAACAATTCTATTTAATGTTATAGCAACACTAGCTAAAACAAAATGTCACTGTTTGGGAGTTTTGGCGGGAAATTGACCGGCGGCGGTTTGCTGCTCCTGTATTATTGTTTAAATAATGGTTTGAAGTGGACTTTGATATGTAAAAGTGTTGCGATTTTGTGTATTAAGTGTCTACGCATGTGAACTATTAGTGGAAACAGTGAAACAAGTGCTCTGATGGTGATGGATTCTCAAGATAAGCTGTTTTATTTGCATAGGCACCTTTAGATACCATCGCCAACTATCAGCTGTCTGCTGGATCAAGTTGCCGCCAAAATCTCCCAAGAACTGCAAAATGTGACGCATCAACATATTGTGAAGCAGTATACTATGAAGGAGTGGGGAAATTACAATAAACCGAATAAAAATACTTAAGACTTGGCCTAAAGGTCTAGATACCAGGCCATAAACTCCAAAAAAAAAAAGTCACTGTTTTTTAACTGAATTTACGACTCTGGGTTCTAGCCCTTCTGAGAATGTCACTGTATGACACAAAGGCCCCGGCCCCATGCCAGAAATATACATTTATAATATTTAAATATATAATAGAGATACATAATCTAAAAAGTCTCAATTATGTAGGTGGGTACATTATGTTGAGCATGTGGGTGAATATTCTAGAGGCTTGAAATTTGTGTCTCGCGATAATACTCATCAATGGCTTATTATATTTTTTTTAAAGAATTTTGTTTTATATACTTAAATGATTATTTAAAAAGCAACCTTAGTCACGTTCACATAGAAGTAACAAATAAAATATTTCAAGAAAAAAACTATCAAAAATTCCACTATTTTGCATGTCGCTTTACGTAGTTCTCAGCAACTTTCTCACATAAAATATTCTTATTGAATTCATATTAAATTATTTTATTAGCTCGAGCTTGACATTGATATAATTCAGCTTTATCACAATAAAACATTTTAAAAATATGGCTGGAAATCAATAAAAAAATATATCAAAAAATTTTCTCAAAATTTGCGTCATTGTCGCTCCATATATTGTTTAATAAAATACCATGACTCGGAACTATTTGTTTCGTTATGTTTTGAGTTGATACTGGCAACCGCCCCGCCCTTCATTCGACCGGCAGCCATTGCATGGAACACACGTGTTGGATTTCGAACTGGTGAGCTTTGAATTTAATTCTCTTAATTGTGTCATTTCAATCGTCATTTGTTTTTTTAACCTTAACTTGAAGTCGGGATTGATTCTATAATCTTAATAAGATAATTAAGTTACCTTTTGAGTAACTGTTCATTGACCATAACAATGTTTTCTGTGTATACGTTTTTTAACATGTTTCGACGTGATTTTGTCATTGTCATCAAAAAAGGCGGAGAAGACAATAACGCACGTTGTGAATAATGATGATGTAACTAGACGACAATAATTACTGATGAGAACAATGATTTTGATCATTTCAATTGATGTGCAGATGTGATGAGCTGGGCGATGTTTGATGTATAGACAGTTTCCCAATAAGTTAAAATATTCACAAAACGAAAGTGTTACTTTACATTTTGATTCCAGTCAGATTTTAAGAAAACTTGGTACATAGTCACTTCTGTTAATTGTTAGGTTGTTTATTTTTGTATTTCAAAACCAGAACTAAATTCTTCATATTTGCCTACTAGTTTTTGTCGTAAATTTGTTCTAAGCTGGATCTTGTTATTAGATTACAGAAAATAAGTAATAATAATAACCATGCAGAGGAAGAGGTCAACTTCGCCCTCAATTTTATCTGGACAGCTATTTAAAAAAACGACGATATTTCAACTAAAAAAGAACTTGGCACTCAAACCATTAACGAAAAGATAATAGATGCCATGATCTATCGTAAACACATTGATAAAACTACGTTTTCGATTATAACCGATATATTGCACGAAGTGGAGTTTCACGATGAGATCAGCGAAATGAAAATTTTGCGAGGCTTGTAGC